TACGTAGCTATAAAAGGTGACTCCACCCAGTTTTTTTGGGGGGGTACCATCCTACTTTGAAGCTCTCTGGTATTCCAACCTTTACTTTTATTGTAACTTTAACAAATAGAATGGACAACATATAGATCAATCTACAATATAACATAAAATTTTGGGCGATGGGAGTAAATGTCACGTGGTTCTAATGCCACGCCCCTTTGAGGTCTCAGTCGAAAATCTGCTGTTGCTGGCATTTTTTCGTGAAAATCTCTCGGCTACACATAGTGCGCATTAGTGCCTTGCGCTGAACAGAGTTTCACCAAAATCGCAGACCCAATTCGAGAAATTCAGCGGTTTCCAAATTTAGGTCATAATTTATGCGAAAATGATAAGCAAACTTTACACAATTATATCTAATAAACTATGAGATTCATCCCTTTATTTTGGGCATCGTTATAACAGATGTGTCCTTGCAAGTCAGCAAAACGCTTTAGGGCTTTGTAAATGCGCGCGATTTCGAGCAAAGCAAACATATAGAAATTATAGCTATTTGTTGACGTTTGCCAGCGTTTAAGAGTCCTTCTCACGAAAAAAGCATTTTCTTAAAAATTCGTATTTTTTTTCCTTCAAATTTTTTCAGGGCCACAATTGATTAACTAACTACCCGCACTCTGAATTTGATGGTCATTGAAAAACTGTGACATTATCTTCTATAAGCTCAAACTTGAGTAAACATTGATGATTTTTAGCGTTTTGGCTGAGTTTGTGCTTTGGGAGTTGTCTATTGTTTCTAGTCTGTCATTATACAGCATTCTTGTTCAGCACGCGTGCAATGACCGCGCTTGGCGGACTTCCGAATGCTCACCGAGATGTGATAATTTTGGTACAGTGAGACAGGCCATCGCGTGATACACAGAGGTTTAACTCACAATTTTTAATCAATTCTCGTGCTTCTTGTTCCTTTGCAAAAAAATCAAGAAGTGCTACACACAAAATCTACTTACTATTAAAAAAATATCATTTTTTTATAGGTTTAATGCAAGCCAATAATTAAACCAACTCGTGACGGGAATCCCTTCTATTTTCTCATACTAAATCATCATACGGCTCGGTGAGCATTCGGAAGTCAGCCAAGCGTGGTCATTGCACGCGTGCTGAACAAGAATGCTGTATAATGACAGACTCGAAACAATAGACAACTCCCAAAGCACAAACTCAGCCAAAACGCTAAAAATCTTCAATGTTTACTCAAGTTTGAGCTTATGGAAGATAATGTCATAGTTTTTCAATGACCATGAAATTCAGAGTGCGGGTAGTTAGTTAATCAATTGTGGCCCTGAAAAAATTTGAAGGAAAAAAAAATACGAATTTTTAAGAAAATGCTTTTTTCGTGAGAAGGACTCTTAAACGCTGGAAAACGTCAACAAATAGCGAAAACTATAATTTCTATATGTTTACTTTTCTCGAAATCGCACGCATCTACAAGGCCCTAAAGCGTTTTGCTGACTTGCCAGGACACATCTGTTATAACGATGCCCAAAAGTCTCATAGTTTATTAGATATAATTGTGTAAAGTTTGCTTATCATTTTCGCATATATTATGACCTTAATTTGGAAACCACTGAATTTCTCGAATTGGGTCTTCGCGATTTTGGTGACACTCTGTTCAGCGCAAGGCACTAATGCGCATTATGTGTAACCGAGAGATTTTCACGAAAAAATGCCGGCAACAGCAGATTTTCGACTCAGACCTCAAAGGGGCGTGCATTATAACCACGTGACATTTACTCCGATCGCCCAAAATTTTATGTTATATTGTAGATTGATCTATATGTTATCCATTCTATTTGTTCGAGTTACAACAAAAGTAAAGGTGGGGATACCAGAGAGCTTCAAAGTAGGATGGTACCCCCCCCCCCCCCAAAAAAAAAAACTGGGTCGAGTCACCTTAAATCTTTCTTGCTTTGTATGTATAAATTTTTAACTCTTATTATTTTAGTTTATGGCTGTACATATATATCTTTTTTTATAACATAGCGCGCGTGCTTGCCCTATATAACTCCTATTGAGCCGCTATGAACAAAATCTTTAATTTACGCACGCCCGTGCGTAAATAAGATGACGTGAGCATTTTTTTTTTACCTGGGTGCAAAGTTGTCGTCTTTTAAGCTGTAGTACCCTTTTCCTTCTCTTTAGAATATGGAAGAAACCAGCCAAGAACTGCCCAATTTTTCTATCGGCATTGACCTTTTAGGTCCTGATCCAACAAGCAGCAAAAATAAAGCCGAATTAAAATAAAAAATCTCGCAAGTTGCGCGCCGTTCGCAAATTTGTCGAAGGCCAGCTGCAGCAAATTTTGGCCGAAAGACATTCACTGGGAACAGAACAGACACCAACTGGTCATCAACAACATTTAAAGGCAAAATTTCCGTTTTTATTGCTGTTTTTAAATTTGTTATGCACTTTTGTTATCTCCGGACAATCCGACTGAAGCAGGAAAATTTCTATCGCAATAACAATACAAATTACACAAGAAGACATAAATTTATTACTCACAAAAACAACTGCTGCCAGGTCTCCTCAAGAAGCCGTAATGACCAGCCAATGTTCGTAAATGAATATAAGTTTAAAGAAGGATGACAGTTGTCTTCACTAAAAACATGTTTTCTGGATTTCGCCGAGCAAAACGTAAACATCTTTTCAGCAAATCCAAATCATACTCCACGACTTCTTATGAACATGTTAGTTTTAACTTTAGGTGAACTTTAAGACTCTTTTACCTTTGTTTCTGCTTAGTTTCCATTGATCGTTAACGAATAAAGAAGCAAATTTTCTTTCTCACTTTTACAGAAAGGATATTTTCATTCAAACTAGACGATTGTGGCGTGTTCATAATCAGCCAATAGAACCGTTTGTTATTGTGTCACACGTTAAGAGAATTTTGCAGTTAATCAAAAAGCATGCATTTTTGTGAGCTATGTTATAAAAGAATTTGCTCATGCTTTTAGCTGTGCGTATATCGAGTTATGGATGCACTTGGGAAGTTTGGAGAGCACTCAAGAAGCTAGAGTTGCACTCGGCTATCGCCTCGTGCAACTCTTACGCATCTTTCGTGCTCTCCAAACTTCCCGCGTGCATCCATAACTCGATATACGCACGCTAAGCATGAACAAATTCTTAAATTTCATAGTGTCCCCAATTAGCTTATATAGCTAAAGTATGTGACACTCGAATAAAGTTTAATATTAATATTATCATTATTGATATCAATATTATTAATATTCTGGAATAGTACGCGACAATAATGCGTGAATGTCCGATCATTTCTCCCGATGAGGGGAGGGGTGAAACAAGCCATCTATCAGAAGGGGCTTTAAAATGGATTTTCTTAGCAGCCACATAAATCCTAGTGAAATTGGTATCAAATTAAAGCTGAAGGTCTGCAGTTTCTAAATCCACTTGTTAACAGGACGGTAACTGGTACATAAGGGAGATAGGGCAAGGTCAGGAGCAAGGTTTTTACGAAGGGTGGGGAAGTGAAGAAAAGAATTGAGTAGAATAGAATAATTCTTTATTTAAACACGGTAAAATTCGTCAGGAGTATTTTTTTAAAAAAAATAAACCTAACTACCCTAAACAATATGCAAAACTGTCTACAACTAACCTAACTAAGAAATAAGAAATTTAGATGAGTCAAACGTTTAAATTGACTTACAGATTTAGCCTCTCTCAGGCTGTTCCAAAGAACTGCTCTGGTATAACTGAAGCTGTTCGATGAAGTTAGTTCGCGGAAACGGGACAATTACTTTGTTAACAGAGTCCCTTAGCGAGTAGCGCGTTTCATATCGTTTAACAAATTTAGAGGATAAATATCCTGGAACCAGAAATTTATTTAAAGACTTTCAGACCATTAGGGCTTTTTGCATTTGTAACTGAGTGCTCAAGCCTTTCTAATTTAGTTGTCTAAATAAGCGGTTGGCATCAGCATCATATCTAGAAAAGGTTAGAACCGTGACGAGCAGCATGATTCTGAAGCTTCTGTAGGAGCTTCTGCGCCAATGTTGAAGAGACAGGAGCGTCACAACGAAGGAACTCTAACAGCTTTATTTAATGTCAACGAAATCGCTCGTATAACAAGATGGATGCGATAATCACCCACATAAGGGAAACCAGTGCGCGCATATAATATAACACAATCCTGTTGGTGCAACCTCTTCTTCCGCGTAAATGAATGCGAACTACCGAAAAGGTTAGAACCGAAACGAAAGATATAGTGCCATGATGTAGAACAAAACTTGATAACAAACAGACTACGGCCTAACAGTCACTGCATGATAAAACTTATCGCTGCAGGATAAAACTTAACGACGTAAAGGCTAAAATCTAACATAGTCATTTAAGTACGAAGGTGGTTTGCGCTGTCTTTGAGGTCTTGGACCAGGAGTCTCAGGAGGAGAACTGGGACAGGACGGCAGGGCCTGATCTGCGTCTGTCACACTGGTGCTGGGCTCCTCCTGTAGAACAGGTAGTGAGGGAACGCCAATAGGGGCATCAAGGGTAGTGTCATCGCATGTGAACGAAGGGAATTGATCCTCGTCAGACGGCACGGAGGTAAGCTCAGGCGGCGCGGGAGGAGGTGACGCTGGTGATACTGAGGCTGTAGGCACAGCGGGGGTTACCGGAGAAGGCTCGTCATCCTGGTCTTGAGAGGCCTGGGGACCAGAATGATCGGACACTATAACGGAGGGAGAAGTTGCGTAACACTCAGACAACTTGACTTTGTAGGAGGTGGCCCTCAGTTGTGAACGTCTAAACTTCTTAACGAAGCACCAGGGGAAGCCAATGGAAACCATGATATAGCGATCACGCGCGCGAGACTTGTCCTTATCGGAAAGAGGTACACAATGTCGCCAACGTGTAGTGAAGGCGTGTTTGGAACAAGACCGCGGGGGTTCTTAGACTTCTCACTGGAGGCCTGGTTATCGGAACGTTGCTCGTGTTTACCAAGTATGGGGTCGTAATCAGACAACGGCAACTGTTCGTGGGTGAACTGATTGCGTTGAGTCCACTACTCGCGAGAGGGCAGTGGCGAGAGCAAGGCCAGCTGCACTTACTGGTCTGCCATCGGGCTCTTTTCTGATGAGCTCTTCCTCAAGTTCACGGACAGCCTTCTCAGCTACTCGGTTCTTGTTTTTGTTCTTAACGCGACCGACATCGATTGTGACGTTCAGGTGGTTGAGAGAGTCGTTTTTAGCCATGGACTGAAAGCGAGGAGAGGGATCTACACGTATAATTGCTCTTGGGCCGTCAAGTGGGTGGAGATCGACAGTTAGTTGTGTGAGGGCGTCACTGAGGGTATTGTGTTTCTGGTCATGTACCAAGCAGGAAGCAGTGAAGGACGTGGTGCATTCTCGCAGCACTAGGATCAACTGACGGTAGCGTTTGATCACGTCAGCAGCAAAGGAGACGCCTACGACCTCTGGGGGATCGTCAGACGACTACTTGATCAAGGAGCTTGGAAACGACTTCAGGGAGGCGCAAGTGTGGCAGACAGATGTTAACCCTAACCCTAACCCTAACCCGTCCCGATTAGCTGAGCTGTCCTTCGTTTTCCAGTAAGGGGAGGGTCTTTGATTAGGGTTAACCGAATTTTAGAGGAGTTTTTTTTGCGGTATCAGTCAGTCGCCGGGATACTAGTATGTCTTGCGTGTGAACAATCACTTAGGAGTTTCACCTACAAACTGAAAATAATTAACGTTAGAACTGAACCGTCTGAGCAACTGACAGGATAAAATACATAGTGCATCTATGACTGAAAAATTACATGGAGAAGTTACAAAAAGAGTCTTGAATGTAACCCGTTTTATTTACTTGTAAAGGAATGTAATAGTCCAAGAAGTTAAGAGACAAGGTATATAGGGCGAACACACGGGACTGGAGGTCATTGTCATACTATTACCCATACAAATTCTCTGAAACACAATAGGACCATTACCGAGTTTTAAAAACTCAACCGTTCAAAACGAGGTTAAGTGCGAAACCTTTCTTGTAAAAATGAGAATGAGTTTTATTTGCACGAGAATAAACTTCGCATTTAGCCTCGCTTTCAAACAGAAGCTTAGGGCAACTCGAAAATAGCCTAATTAAAAAATTATCTCAAAATTACGACAAAGCCCTGATTCAATTTGGAGACAGACACGTGTATCACTTAAATTTTTCTTGCTTAATTTTTTCTTTTTGTTCTTTGCATTCTTTTCTTTAATTTATTTTTTATGAAATAAAAGGAAATTTGTATTGCTGCACTTTTCCAGTCCCCCCGTGACCCAACGCACGCAACGAAAGCGCCGCAGTAAGAGTTAGTTGTTTTTGAAAGTCTGTTGGGATTCGATGATGCAGAGGTACTGAATGCTTGGAACCCTAAACCTCTCATTGGTTCCAGCATATCTATAAACCCTGTCCAAAATTGTCTTGCCATTCTCACTGTCGATTGGCTCCTGTTTCTTTGTTTGGAAATGTTAAGTTAAAAACATTCATCAGCCCCCCTTAACTTTTTTTGTAACTGCGCAAGCGCACTGTAGCTCCTTTTTCTCTTTTTTTGTGCGTTCACGTCCCCCAGAGTCTGATGTTTCTTTAGGATGAATGTCCTTCGAGAGGAAGGGAACAAATGGTTGGCAATTTGTTCAGCAAAGTTAGAAAACAATTGAGGATGTTCGTGATGATGAACATGCGGTTGCCTAATATATATAAGCCCATTTACTGGGCGAGTTCTTAGGTCGGTACGTACTGCAAGTACGGATACTTGCTTTTTTTTTTGCCGACATAATGACCCGTCCATTTTTGGGCTTTTAAATTTTCGGGATCCCTTTGTGGGAGAAGAAATATAAGGCTGTAACAATACATCGAACTATCGATTAATCGCGATATTAACTCTGCAATAGCGATGGATCTATAGTAAAAATGAAACATCGATAACAGTCGCAATAGTGAGCGAATTATGAATAGTTTGGATAGTTTCTACTTCTAACATTTTTACTTTGGAAAATATGGACGCCTTTTTTCACCCATCTTTGATTCTGAAGGTCACAATAACGGAAAAAAAGAAATTAAAAACAATCTGCTGTCCTTTTGCACCTAGAATGTTTTAGCTTGTTGATTCTTGAACAGCTTTGGCGACAACAGTTTGACTGTTTAAGTCATGACCAGAGTGCTTGTTCAACTTTTTATTTGGTTTTACCAAAGGTTGTTTAAACTCTACTGCAATGTTCCCGTGTTCATGAAAAAACTCATTAAATTAAGTAAATACCAATTGGCTCTGTGCTCCATAGACTACCTGAGTGTATTGTATGACCGAAACAGATATTTCTGAAAACTATCGTAATACTATCGCAATATCAATGTGACCTATTGCAATCAGTTGCATCAGTTAAAAATTTCCAAGTGTCACCCCTAAAGAAATAGCTGTCTGACCAACGATTTTATAGATAGTGTTTTTGGCGCACGAGATTGACGCACTTGGAGCGACAGAAAATTAACGTTCAGAAGGAAGCGTTTTCTTTTTTTCTGTCCGTATAGAGACCAATTACAGAACTATAAATGCCTTAGTCATATGATAGATTTTAATTATAACAATTTTGCTGCAGTGACCTATTTCCAGTTCTGCACCAGGTACGTTACTTAGTAATTTGAGAGAACGCCGGATCGGTACGCAATAGCCACTCACCAATTGCAACCTTGACAAAAATATCAAGACACCCGAGAAAAGCAACTTTACTCTTAAACAACCAAAACGTCCCCCGCAGAAACTTCAGATAATACTTTCAATAAGATTCGTGACACAAAGTGTAAAGATCGAGGAATATCGATAAACGGCCAAAGCGTCATCTTTAGCAAAGTCATGTTCGAACGTACGAAGGAGGTGTGACTGTTCCAATCTCAACCACGTTTTTAGCAAATGCTGACTCCTTCACTTGACACAAGCCAAAGTCAAGTGATTCATGGCTTGAACGACGTCCAAACAATCGCTTTAACTCGACTCTTATGTCCCGCTTAACAAATGAATACACTATGACATTTACAGCAGAATTTAAAAAAATCAAAATCCTGGAAATCCGAACAATCTTGATTGTAACTGTACACAATCCGAACACGTCGCAAAATCCACGGTACGCTGATAGAAGCCAACAGAAGATGAACAACAAGACCACTGAGGCAAACACTTTGAGATTGGATCTTTCTCTACTTCTTTGCCGCCTTTTCTTTGGAATTATACGGTCACAATATCTTTGTTGAACACTTTCTTGCGCTGCTATTCGGCGGGAATGCGCTCGCGTTATCACATACAGATGGCAGTATACGAGAACCATCATGAAACATGGAGTTATTTCAAGGAAGAGTATCACAACTCCCGTGTATACTCTTTTTGCTTTGTCTCTGCTGTTAACAAGCGACTTTTCCCACAACAAACTGGGCAAAAGGGAAATAAATGTTGGTATTATCCACGAAATAGATATCATTGTCACGACTTTAGAACGAGTCATCACGATGCAGTATCTTAGAGGTCTGGTGATAGCAAGGTATCTATCGCCAGTCATAACACACAGGTTTCCAACTGAGACGTAAAGAACCAGATTGTAGAATGTTATTAGCGCATGAATGTTTAGAGGTATCCAGAATGTGTGGATAATATATGTAGGTATTACCGCAAGACCAACCAACAAATCCGCGAATGAAAGGGAAAGGATGAACCAGTTGGCTGTGACATGAAGAGATGGTCGTTTAATGATGAGATATATAACAAGTGTATTACCGAAGACTGTTGTTATCCCTATTAAGACTACCAAGGTCCAATACCAGACAACATCCCTTTCGCCAGGAATGCTCATGGATGCCATTTATGGCAGATGGTCGCTGCGAAGAAAAATAAGAAATAACAAACAATTATAAGGGAGATTTAGAGTAACGTTTAAGACAACGGCAAACAATAGATTCAATGAGAATTTCTTAATAAAAAAAGAAAAAAGCTTGCTGCTAAAACAATTCAAAACAATTGTTAGAGACAAAATAACGTTAAGCTACTAATTTTGGGGTAGAAGAACCTAAGTTTTGAACACTTGAAACATGAGTAAAGCATAAGTTAAGGGAAAACTTGGTCACATGGTACAAATTAACGTTTGACGTGTCTCTAAATCTCTCTATTGTCAGCTTATGATGGTACAGGTGGACATTGAGTGTCCCAATGATCCTAAGAAGATACCCCGACTGGGACGGACGCTAGTCTCAGGAGATGATGTCACTGTGATGTCACGTGTCTTTTAGACTGCCCAGGAAAGTAAAATGGGTTCCCTGTGGACATCTTTTAATTAGTATAGTGCATCTGTTATTAAATGATCTAGCCATCAATAAGTCAAAGTTATATAATTCGCCATTTCACAAGAGTTGAACTAAACCTTGAAATTCTTTTAGTCTGTGATCAGGGTTACGGACTTTCACGAGTTGCTTATAATGTTCACTATTTACCTGAAATGTTCACTCTCAAAAGAACTTTTTCCACCATCAAAGCTCAAACTTAAGGTGAATGTGACATTCAAAAAAGTTTCCAAATCGACAAGCGACGCATCCCTCTCAGATAAAAGCTGCCATTAATAAGAGTAAGTGAAGAAATATTTTTCATACTGTGAGTCTGATCCCAATTGACGAACAGGAATCAGATGAACAGAGACTGAATTCTCAAGTGCGTCACAGGTAGCTCAGTAATAGTTGAATCAGATTATAAATATGAGTCAGAGTAAAACGTCGATTCAGCTTAGCGCCAAACTGGGTAGTTTTCAGATCTTTCCGCTTAAGAGAGAGCGAATTAAACTCACCCCAATAACTTTACTATAAATTAGGTATGAACTCCTGAAGGAGAGTGCTCGCTCTATTATTCTAAAACGTTTCTTGAATACTGATTGCCTCTTGATAGGTTTTACATTTTCAACCTCCTTCTACTAATTTACATTATAAAAGGATAGTAATTTCCTTTTTGGATCATATTACAAGACATCTGCCTTACTGTTTGCCACCAGTTCCCGTTTATAGCCTCTAGTCAGTTGCTATTTTAGTCGAACTTAAAAACAGCATGCTTTACGGTATTGTTACATTTATCATCAAGGTGTCCCCCTTTCACAACAAAGGAGAAGATTATCTTAAAAGATAATCTCAAAGTATTCCCGATCGACTAACACGTTGGGCGTTTGCAAGGTGCTTTCAAACTGTAAACGTGACTACCATGATATGCAAATACAAAACAATGTTTTATTTCTTTCTGCAAATATATCATTAGGACAGCGAGAGAAACCAGCCCGTCTTAATTACCTTCATGTAAAGGGATAAAAAACACCAGTAACCAGGTTTTTATGATATTTTAGGACAAAATATATTTTTCCCGCGTTTTCGTCAAAGGTAAGACGTTCTCATTCCTGAGATCTGTGGCTCTCAATAACACCTTCATTTTCATCACACATGTTTCTTTTTTTTCCCTGAAACACTCGGCACTATACAAGAAATAAACGCTTATAAGTTCAATTTTTCAGAGGTGTCGAAATATTTTTAAAATCAGTATAACTATGAACATGCAAACTCGTTAGGGAACCTTTTGACTATGAATGCAGATAGTACAACGTTCCGCGGTGAATTCCAGTTCATGCATCATGGAGCAAGGGATAACGAAGGGGGTACTTATAATCTTTAGCCTCTCTTATTCGGAGTTTAATATTACTGATACTTTAACTTACCTAAAAGTAAAGTACATTTACTCCTGCTTTCTTTTTAACTACTGAGATTTCCACTAAATTCTCAGAAGTTTGAATCTTGTAAAAAATGCCTTGGTCACTACGAAATCTATTGTTCTTCTGAATACATAGAACAACAGATGAGATAAGATGACGCAAATGTTGCTTATTTAACTTCAGACAGCTGAGCCTCTTAAACTTTTCTAGTCAGATTAAACTTGCATTGTTTTCTAGTGCGAATGGAGACGTGCCATTGATTTTATTTTCGTTTAAAAGTTGAATGCAATTGTACTTGAAATGAATCACAAAATTAGCGGTTTTTTTGGTTTCCGTTAAACCCGCAATTTTTTAATTCAAGCTGATTCTGATTAGCTGCCTCTTTATCTTGAAAGGATGAAATCCGTTGCCGGAAATTTGTCACCCTAGAAGTTATTGACTTTCTAATGTTTGCTTTTAAAGGGCTGGAACGGAAATCTGCCTCAAGCACCTCAAAGGCAGAGAAAGGCCTAAGTTGAAATAAATACCGAAAAAAACTCTAACAGCCTGCTACACTTGGCAACGTAGTACTGATTGTAGCGGCTGCTGGATTCTTCTTATTTTCCATAAAAGTCTTGTTAACGTGTGGATTGTTAGCTACACCTTTTACTAGCACCAAAAATCAATTTTGACTGAGTTGATTGGCTTTTACTGATCGTTTTTTTAGGCTTATTGTTTTTTTTAGTTTTTTGATTTTTGGTTCTAAATTAAAACAAATGGGTCCAGCGATAGATGTGTTATACTCATAATACCACGCACTCTGTCGATCATCAACATGCGATATTTTTAAACCATCCTTATTTTCCCTTCGGGATCAAGTAACTGCCCTTGAATTCATTTTTCATCCATGTTAGTTTTAAATGTACCCGGTCTAGCCTGAGAATGTATAAATATCAAATCTACGCAGGGCGACGTTATAGGGCAGCTCCAAATTAACCAAACGGTGCCCGCGACGAGAACAGCCAAAAAATTATTAGGTCTAATAGCAACAACAACAACAACAAAACACACACACTTTTTTGTTGTACATTTCTTTGCCGTTGTTTTGCACGACTACAACGTGAATTTTCTGGTTACACGTTCTATGGAGGAAATTTCGCATGTCTTCCCGTTCGCTTTGTTTTCATTGCCGCTCATTTTCACCACTTGTGTCTGTTTATCAATTCATCTTCAGATGGATGGCATATCTTACAGGGTATTATCATTATTTTTATGTTTTAGTAAAGGGCAAGAAGTAAATGTGACAATTAACGTCGGCTTACATGTGCTGGATGGATGTACAGGCGGTCACGTGATTATTAAATTTTCTCGCTTCCTTAGGTTAAAGGACTAAAGTAACTGCAAAAAAAATATATAAAGAACCAAAACAAAAAGTCCAAAGACTACAGCAAAGGTGATACCGAAAAGCTGATCTGTAAACCTAAAGAACGCTGGTATGATATGGCCAGCGGAAATATTGTTATGAAAACACAATACACGTCGTTCTGAATCAGCTTTGCATTAGTCTTTGGGCTTCTCGTTTTTGGTTCCTTAGGTCACCATTTTTTCTTGCCCACGGTGCTCCGCTGCGCGCGCTGCGCTCGCGAGAGCTCCACAACTAAGATCCACACGACAGTTTAGGATCGCTATAGCTAATACAGCTGTCGGCAGAATACGCAAGAATGTATGACGTAGAAGAAGCACCAGCCTGGAGACCAAGTTGAAGGCATGAAAAGCATTGTTCTACTCCTACACTTTCACTCAGCTAAACAGGGAATGCCATTGGTTTATTCTTTGTCACGTTCCTTTTACTAAATTCAGCCTGATATTAACTGTATAATGTTCTCCCAGCAGTCTTAGCTCAGCCGCGCTCGGCAGGTAACCTCGTTCGCGGCGTACATGCCAGAACACCAGAGCATGTAGGCCAGCAGAAGCGCTCTGATACCCTAGGATGTGAAAAGGCCACATTTGATCAGCAATTTACCTGGTCCCCGTTACATCAAAAGACGAACAACATAAATTATATACCGGAACAAGCACAAGGGCTTACAAAGGAATCATCTCCCGTCGAATAATTAAGTAGATGAAAAGCCATTTCCCTCGTTTATTTTCAAGTAAATTCAGTTAACGGTAACATTTGCGCAACTTTCAAGTATTAACACATTATGTGAACTTATTTAGGTACAATTGTTTTCAAAATTGTGTGAATGCTCTTAAAATTTAAAGCTTGCAAATACACTCTTTTTTTGATCAGGCTTATTAAAAGGCCATCTACATGAAATATTAATATTAAAAGAGAGGATAGTATACGGCTATTCAGTTGTCAGTCTCCATTAATACTCACTCCTTCTAGATTTGTCATGCAATAGGCAGATAAAATTTCTCTCTCTCATTACCTGTTTTTATTATGTACTCAGTAACGCTCTCTAACTGATTTGCAATATAAAAAATGTCTTACATCAAAAAGTGTAATAGAGTTGTAGCCTATTTGGTGTTAATATCCATGACTAACCATAGATACAGTTTTAAATAGCTAGAAGGTACGTGAGTGGGTTATGGGCTCCTGGTGAACGTCAATTTGTTACCTTTATGCGTCAATTTCTCCCACATTAAAACAAATTTAATCAAAATGAAATATATTCTTTGCTCTGCAAAAATACAAACAACTATCAAAGAATTATTTGAAAGTGAACATGAGATTCGCAGAAGAATGAAAAAGTAAAAACCTAAACGATTGAAAAAGAACCAGAAAAAGTCATTCTACTGCATGCGAAGATCATTCTTTACCCGCGCAGCTCAAAATATGATTATTCAGTTTCATATATTTCGATTCATGTCTTTTCCATCATCGGATATATTACGAATTCACGATGGCCTGCATAATAAAAAGCCCAAACTAGATATTCTTATTATTCTGCCGATGCTGAAAATATTCTTGTAAATATATTCTTATGTTATTGATACTTTTTGACGTATAGTTTACGTCTTTCGTACTGTATGTCTTGAATACCTTACATATATATTACATGCACCGTTCATCAAAATGTCTCAAGTCACGGACATTTTGCCAAAGTACAGGTTTAGTCGCTTTATTAGCTACCAGGGCCCAGTTGTTCGAAGGCCGATTAGGGCTTAACCCGGGGTTAAATTTAACCCAGGTTTCTTTTTCTTGTGTTCAAAAGCATTTTCTCGCATAATTTTCTGTGCTATTTTTAGAGATTCCAATCATCAACTTGTAGACAAAAAGAATTAAAACTGAAAGGCTTTCTAAGCTTTCATATCTGAATTCAAATATCGCACTAACCGTGGGTTATCTTAACCCAGCTTTGAACAACTCGGCCCTGGCAGTAGTTTTGCCGTTAAGACAAAGCTTCTTAAACGGTTTGAAACATACAGCCTAGTGTATTGTTATTTTCAACACAATATTACATACTATATAGATTTGGCCAGTGCTAAAAGCGAAGCTCTCGTTAATATCATTCTGTAGTTTACTCGAACAAAATATAAAATCGTTTAATGCTAAGAGGCGACGGCAACAAAAACTGTAGAAAAAAAAAAAATCAGTTGGTCCAATCAGCAGAAAAAAAAAACAATTTTGCAAGTGCAGCACACTTGTTTTGTACATTTCTTGCCGTTATTTTCTACGACTACAACGTGAAACTTCCAGAAACATCCCAGTTACATGTTTTATGGAGGAATGTTGTATGTGTTCCTCCTGTTCATTTTTTTCTAGGCCACTCATCAGTTCACTTTGGTGGCCCCGGGTAGTAATTCTCATTTTCTCACCACCGCTATAAAATTCTCATGTTATTCTTCCAAAGTAATTGGTCTCCTTTGTTTGTTATCTCTCGCTCTAGCTCTTTCAGTTGTCAATGAAGACATTAAGTAGCTTTAGCATCGACGACGGCAACGGCAGCGAAAACGTCATTTTTAAAATGAATTCCCGTTTTTTTTTCAATCTTTGTCGCGTTGATTCCAATTGCTAAAAAGGGCAAGTGCAGGCGAATTTCCCTGGAGTTGATTTCTTGAGGACCGCACTCAAGTTGAGAGAGAGAAAAAGAGATTCGTCGTCGCTTGTTTACGTCCTCCATAAAACTTGCAATTAGGCATTTTCACGTCGTAGTCGTGCAAAGACGGTGAAGAAATGCACAAAAAAGCGTGATGCTCTTTGCAGAAGTTGTTGTTTTGTGTAATAAACCTATTGCTTTTTTGACGTCCTCGTTGCCGTCGCCGTCGTCGTTGCTAAAGCTCCATGATTAAACTTAAGTCGACAGCAAGAATCGACCTCGTCGTTGTTGTTGTTGTTGTTTTTATCTCTAAAAGTCCGGATGGCAATGACATTTACCGCCGAAACGCACGGGTACTTCCGCTATAGCATACTTCTCCCACCCCCCGAAGGGCTGACTCCTGACTCCCTTCACCCTCCCTCAGCGTCTGTACCGACGTACTGGGTTACGTTCACGTGATTACCAAATTTCTCGGATGGATGAATCACAAACTTTTTTTAGGTATGGGGTACGCGTTTAGCTCCAGGCTAGTATTAATATTAATTTATTTTCAAATCCTGAGCGTGGGGTTTATTCCTAAACATTCTTAATATATTTACTTTCTGCTTCCATATTTTCATAAAATAAATTCTTATAACAAGACGAGTGTATTAAGCTATACGTTTGATTTTGTAAATAATTTCCTTAGAATAGTGTATTTTGTCTTTAATGTATTATAAATTTCTGTATATTGTTGTTGTATTTGTGGTTAATGAAAAAATAAATGAATGATTGAAAGAATGAATGAATGAATGAATGAATATTTAATTGTAGCTAAGGCTAAACTGCTTTCGCGGCGTTTGTGTACTCTTCCGGACCCTCCTTCGCCCGTTACCTATATACTATGGCATAAGTCATTTTTTAATCAACGTGAAGATATGGAAGTTTAAAACCCTCTAAAATTCGATGACGAGCAATTTAAACTCGGAAAATGCAACGCGTCAAATTTTAGAGAATATGGTATGTGTAATTCAAGTAGCTTGCCTAAGAGCATAGCTAGGGAATAAATAATCAGATATTTTTGTCTCGGAATTATTCTGAGTAATCGTATTTTCATTAGCAAAATCTAAAAGAACTCGGCTAACATCATAGACTAGACTCTGCCAATAACAGACTGGTCATGCATTCTTCCACTCCAGTATAAGAAAAATTCCAACTGATGTTATTCATATCGGACTGAGAAGAAGCGTTGACTTAGGCTTACGAGTATTACTGAGTTAAAAGTAAGTGTTTTTATCTCGTGTTATTTGGAGTGCGGGCACTGGCCGCGATGCGCTCTTCACGAAACAGTTTCCCTTCAAAACCCTTTGCTATGAACTATGAACTACTATGCTCTTATGATTCATTGCGAGGATCACATGCATGGTCCAAATTCAACTGCTGGATCATTTCCTGTGGTCGGTATTGGGTAATCTTAAGGGAAATCTCAGTTTAGTTGTTTTAAACGATATGTAAGCACTTGTGCAGAGTAAGCCTTTAATTTGTTCCTTGAGTCACATAATCCACTTAATAGGAAACAATACTGTAATTCACGATCACGTTGTCTATGTAAACAGGCGTTGACTGGATTAAAGGGGGCGGATTCGCATGTGAATTGATGCCGAAAGTTAAAGCTCGAAGTCGTTTTGCAGAGTGAATTTGGAGAAAGAGAACAGACTGCTGGCAGACAGTGATTATTCTGAAAAGTCTAAATCTATTGTGCACGGTGCAACGCTACGAGGAATCTCAGACATTCCTTAAAAAGTCTTGGAATTCAAATTTTCATTTGTCAAGCTGCGTAAAAAGGCTCTTGCTTTCAAAGACGCTCTAGTGTTACTCATTGTAACATCGGATCAACATCAAGACTCTACGATCTTTGTTTTTTCTTCTTTAAAGGTTCAGGTGTCGTCCTTGTATATTTTCCCTCCAGATTTAAGGGATGAATACTTTTAAGTGGAAAATCCATACTCTGCTTGTATTCTGGTGTATAAGGTGAGTTACATACGGCTTATTCACTAAGGCTGCTGTACTCGATTACAAAATACGGTTAAAGTTTAAATTGATTTGCCATCGACGAGTAAGACCTACTGGATCTCATGCAGAGTTTTTACTGATAAACAAGATAATCTACAGAGCGTCTGCTTTGTGGACTTAGAAGCGGTGCAACCAAACGGGGAGCTGAACGATAATGATTACATGGAAACAGCAGATTAGTAATAAGTCAACGCGAGGAGGATCGCCATGACCTTCCTTACATAAAGGCCTAATTTCATGCTAATAAACACTTGTCCTTTCAAGAACAAAGAATTTTAGTGAAAGGTATTTTAAATAGCCATAGACCGAGCACTTCAAGATAGGAAATACATCCCAGACAAATAAGCATAAGCGCTTAACTTTTAATCTTCGACGAATCGTGACCTGTTTTATTGATTTTCGATGCAGCGTTATGGCGTATCCCATTTTTTTTGTTGTTGTTCACTGATGTATAGTGCCAGCATATAGTCTGAACTAGCTGTGTGTATGTACAATTGGGTTGATGCCTGTGCGTGCAATTAAAAGAAGTGATTACGTGAACTATGTATAGTGAAAACCCAGAAAAGTTTTTTGTCTTAACAACTTAAGTGTGGGCTGGCTGTTGACTGATTTTATAGCATCTGCGAGTGCCATCACAATTTTAACAGTAAGGACAGTGCACTTCGCTTTACTTGTGATAATTAGCTTAAACAATGTAAACATGCTCGAACAGTTGACGTGACTTTATTCAGTGGGGTAATTGCTTTCAACACATCATCAAGTGGATTAAAGGCAGCTCATTCATATTGCATAAAGACAACAACCTCATTCACGGGAAAATTTGTCATTCTGGAGTTGCTCGTGTTTGTGTTTTTAGACAGAGCTAAGTCATTACATGCTTTGGGGCCGGGGGGGGGGGGGGTGGGGGAGGACTACTCAACAATGTGTTATACGGGGAGGCTCCGCCCGGAGGTCCAACCCTTTAACCTTTTATATACCATTTTTGACAGAAGAGGTACCCTTTCGTACACGTTCTATTGACAAATGATTTCCCTTTCACATACTTACTAACAAATAAGTTTTCATTTCATGCAACGTTTAATAAATGTAATTGATTCGGCAACAAGGTGCGTCTGTTCGAAATGTTTTAATTAAAGACCTTTGTAAACACTTTTCATACGGTTCAACTCAGAAAATCCCTACTCTTTTATATACTTGAAGCCCGAAAAAAGGTAAAATCTCTTTCGTGCTGCGCCTCCCTGTTACATGATAGGATTTTATAACCCCAGGCCTAGGGGTTAGAGGATATCATCCGAGTTGTCATCTATCATACACCAACCTAGCAGGTGGTCTTGTTTCAAAGGGATTATTTTTTTGTAGTTGTAGCACAGGGACGGGGAAGAGGAAATCTCGTCCCAATGTGTGGTGCGAAAAAGCCCCAGGACTTTCTGATGGCCAAAGGAAGGTTTGTCATAGGGTACCCGGACTTCAAACTGCAATCAAGAAAGGGATCGAGAAAGGGCTCTCAGAATGCGAACGGGAATTTAAATGGAGCAGATGGAACTGTACTTTGCTAGGAGAAAAAAACCTTCTTCAGCGAGCGCCAGGTGAGACATGCAATCCCTATTGTCCAATAACTTTATCTTGTTTACTTTAACTCCAACATCGTCGGAGTGTCAAATTGATAAATATTTTTCTTTACGAAGAGTCACGCACCAAGAAAAAAATTTTAAGGCAGTAAATACTTTGCCCAGGATTACAATCTCGATGATTCATGTGGCCTCTTTATATCTCTCTTTTTTAGGGCTTCTTGGTTAAATAACGTATTTGAGAATCAACTTGACAAACGGCTGAAAAAACATAGCCTTTGGGCAGCACACATAACATACTTAAGCTTATCTATAGGAGAGTACAGCCCGCCATGCTCAGGGACAGACCTCATACCACCGGATCACGATAAATAACCTCTTTATGGACCATTTCACAATGCAAATGATCTGAAAGTTTTTATTTTATGTAATATATATATATAGATGGTACTAAGGAAACTGCGTTTACCACGGCAATGCTATCAGCCGCCATAGCTTTTAACATAGCAAAGGCCTGCACAGCTAAAGATGTCACCGAATGCAGCTGCGAAGGAGTGAAAAGACCCTTCCGCGGACAGCCATGGAAGTGGAAAGGCTGCAATGTAAATATTCGCTTCGGTTCTTACGCTGCTGAGCGGTTTATGATGAGTGGAAGGAGTAATGACACCAAACTCAAAATGATGTCGAGACACAATGTTAGAGCTGGCCTTGAGGTACGTTTTTGTTTTCGCAACAGTCGGCAACAGTATCCCCGGCAACAGATGAGAATATTTGGGCGAAGGTTCCTTGATTCAAAATACTGCATTTCAATGATAGTACGTCTTGCATTGAATCGATAACGGCAGCATAAGCTTATTTTTTTCAAAATGGACACGTTTTAAGATTTGTGGATGTTTCTGAAGAGCCACAGGAACTGTTCATACATGAAGGAAAATGGTTCATTGCTACCGTGGTTTGATCAAATAAACGAGATCAGTAGGCGATTTGCAATAAGAGGTCATGTGACATCGTTTTTATAAAAACTGAAAATAAAAGTGATTTTTTCTTCAAAAAACGATTAGTGGGTCATATCTTTGACAAAATAATAGTGATTTTGTTTTGCAAACCTGCAACATTTTCTTAAAATGAGTAATTTCGTTGCTGGTCACGTGACCAAAATGTGATTTTTAAAATTATGAATTACCTCTTTCTGAACACAAACTTTGCGCTTAGACCTCAAGGGAAATGTTGAAACGTTGATGTGGGAACGTTTACAGCACATCTGAGCGTAACTATCAAACGTTTAAGAAGATCTAAGCAAAAAGTAGTTTTGTCCGCCATCTTGGAGGGCAAGAGTATGCCATCCAAAATGGCGGCCAATACAAATGATACTACTTTGTTGAAAAATCAAAGTGCCGTAAAATGTCTCCCGTAAATGTGTTTCCTCTAAAATTTCGGGTGCAAGATAATTTTTATGCGCTCTTTGGCATCAGCTAGATTCCAGCTCATTGTTTAAAGAAAACATTGGTCACGTGACCTCTTAGTGCAAGTGGCCTATTAAATCCCTCGAAATAAAGCCTCCCTGGGCCGTACAGTCAGGTTTATCGCATAATGAGGTGGACGTACTGACGTAAGGCGCATGCGTACGGTCATCCGGATTTTCCTGACTCATGTTTTGTTTGGTTTCTTTGGTCAACGAACTGGCATTAAGGCCCCGTTCAGATTGAGGAAACTTCCGGGTAGAAGGGTCACTCTTCTACCCGAACTACTCTGGCGAGCCAGCTTTTCATATTACATTTCCTTTCAAAACTTGGTGATTTACATAAGAAACAAAAGTTGATTCTGCTAGAAGGGTGACCCACCAGCAGTAGACGGTTCACCCTTTTTCCATGGTAAGGTCTGTTACCTTCCTGGTCGGGCCAACTTTTCTCCATACAAACACTTTGGCCAGGTCAACTCAGCGTTTTTGAGCGACGTCAACCGGATTTGGACTTCTTGCATCATTTGGGAGTGGTTTCGTTGAAACTCTCGAATGAATCGTCTTCATAAGAGAAACGAAACTTAGTAATACAAATTTGTTAGCGTCAAGGCATATAAAAAGAAAGAAGGGTTCACTTCCGGTTGAAGTGTGTCGCTCAAAACGTCTTTGCACATGCTCCCCATTCAGAGCTTGCGCGAGAACGCTGTGGTCAGCGGCATGGCTGTGGCAAAGAGATCATTTTTTTCTCACATAAACACATCACAAAAATTGACTCGGCTTTGTTGAGAGGGTGACCCCCCTTCCCGGGACAACTTTTCTTCAGACAAACGAGGCTTAATGGTAACTTTTTCTTTTTTTTCTTTTTAGGTTTTAAAAGAAAATAGAGTAATCAGGTGTACTGTAGGAAATACAGGGAACGTGAAGTCATGTCACCTTACCTTGCCACCACTCGAGAAAATCAGCAGAATTCTTAAAGCAAAATATAACGGAGCTAATGAGGTATTCCCTTCCCTACGAGAAAATAAGAAGTCCCTCTATCTGTTGAACAGGGCACGATTCCGAAATCGACAAAGTGGTAACCGCCCAAAAAAATCAGCATTGGTTTTCCTGGTGAAATCTCAGTACTGTTATCGCCAAGATGAATATCGAATACTAGGAACGCAGGGACGCTTGTGCCGACGAAACACCAATAAGGAAGACGATTGTATCTTTCTTTGCTGTGGTCGCGGATACAGTAGAAATGTGTCTCATAAGAAAAGATTTTGTAACTGCAAAAAAGGTCCCAGTGCGCCTTGCAGCTGCAAATTATGTACAGACGTCGTGATCGAAAACAAGTGTTTGTGATGATACTGCTGACAGTGCACTTTTTATGAAGTTACTTGGGGGCTGCCTTACCAACAACAACAGCCAAACAAAGAAAACATTGTTTCAAAAACATACATGGCTGAGAGAGCAATAAAGTCAAGGAACTAAGTTTAGGGAGTAGCGTACTTTACTCGCTCGGCTCATCTGATTGCAGAAGACGTCATAATTTTTATCGTCGTTACATGGCCGTAACAGTTTTATTAGTCTTTCTAGTTTCATAACAGGATATACAGTATAAAGCCTATGACAGTCTCTTTTTTTGCTCAGTTAAGCTTTCTTAAAATCGTCGGGGGACTACATCTGCCTTGGTTTTACAAGACAGCAATTCTCTTGCTTGTTATCGACATCATTCACATGTCAAATGGCGTAATTACCTAGAGGGACATTAAAGCATAATGATTTTTATTGTTAACTTGGATTGTGAAGTCGAAAGCCTGAATAACCACCCTACACGGACATTTCACAAATTAACCCCGACATGACGTTTTGCCGAGATATGCTTCAGCTAATAATGTACATGTTTTACGTTTATTTACAAGAACGCTATGTTCGTATATAGTGGCCAACTAAAAGAAAATACTCAGATAAACTTTAAAAGGAAACGCATTTTGGGATAATATGTACAGTTATTGATTAAATGATTATTTTACTGTTTCAAGTGATGGCTTTACATCTAGGTGCTATTCAAAACGCTGATATCTTGTCGACTGTTAGGGTTACAGAATTAGAAAGACTTACGCACTCTCTTTCGTGTCTTTATTACGAATACCAATGCATAAACTTCTGAGCTCCTTTTTTATGTCCTTTTTCAGTAAAGCATAAACAAGCGGATTAATAGCAGAATTAAGGAAAATCATCAAATCAGCAATCCTGAAAAGATGATCGTTTGTAACGCACAACTCTAACTTGTTACAAAATGATATAACAGTGTCAAATGACCAACACAAAACGAAAAGCCCGATCACAGATCCCAAGACTGCGATGCTAGATCCATCAGGTTTTCTTTCTCCTGCGCTTGCCGGCGCCTGTGAGGCACTAGACATTTTCTTCCCTGTAGTTGTTAGCATCTCTAGGTTTACTAGGTTTACTGTCCGTTTAGGAACCTCACTGTGCGTGGAATTGTACTCAAGCTGTGTTTTGTGAGCCTCGACCTGACGTGCGTGCCTTCTTGCGGTGCGAAAGATGTGAGCATACATCGTTGGCATGACAACTGTGGGCACGACCTCGAATGTAGTTATAACAATGAAAGCGTGAACTTTTTTTGCGGTCGTCTTGACATATTCAGATGACGAAAACATCCAGAATAGAGGAGAGAAAGAGAAAAGTGCTGGCAAAACCCAAGAAGCTGTTATAGCAGCAAATATCCGTGTAGTCGTCGCGTGCGATGGATACCGAAAAGGGAAAATAATTGATATATAACGGTCCACCGTCATAACAAACAAACTTGCTATAGAGACTAACGTAAAAAGATTAAAGAACATATTATAGGTGACAATGTCACACGCAGACCAAACGTTGCAGACGATGAAAAAACTTGGGAGAAATAACCCTACCAAAAGGTCAGCAGCAGCAAGAGAGGCCACAAAATAATTACCAACGACTTGAAGTCGTCTTCGTGAGCAAATAAGAAAGAAAACCATTCCATTTCCTACTACACCAAAGAAGGCCATAAACAATGCGAGTATGATGTAATACAGAGGGAGCGAGTCTTTTTCGGATTCACCCATGTCGACGAGTTCGAATTCAAGCAGGTTCTTCTTTTCCGTTTGGTTGACGCGATAGAAAACCTTATCTTATATTTGCAGACCACTTAATAAGTTCTTGTCCAACCGTCAGTTATTCTCTACAACTCGCATAATGAGACGTTTCTAAAACTCTTCTGGTCAATCCCGTGTTTGTTTAGCGGTGCAGTAAATATTCTCCTGACCTATGCAAAGTTAAATTGGTGCACTAGGACTTCTTTAACTTTCAATAATTGGCTTCTCTCCACGTAGTAAGCCGTTGTTGCTAAATAACAACCGGCTTTAAAACCCATGCGCGCGATGATCAAAAGTTATGATTATGTTGGTTTTACTAAGTATGTTATGAATATGCACTTTTTTTTTATCATCACCTGCCCACTATGTGGTAGGAATCCTTTAAAATGGTAATGACAAAAAGGAGATCTTTGATCATATCAATCGGATCTTGAATCATTTGTTCACATTGTAATTAAAATTAAGCAGTTTTATGTACTTGGAGTAAGTATGCTCGTTTGACACTTAGTAGACAAGATGTTGACGTACAAATGAAGAAAACGAAAACAATGCGATATCATTAAACATTTTTATTAAAATCATTTTCTGACTCTTTGGGCAAGGGCAAAGGCTGAGCGTTTTTCTTTAACAGAGCTTTTCAAAAGCCAAGTTTTCTTAATAATGAATTTACTCAATAACAGTCATACTCTGACTAATATATGAAATTGTCAGCACAAAATGATAGCTCGTTTATAATTTGCAAATTCAGATCAAGGAGCCTGCATAGCCAAAAATAAAACTAATAAATATTTTAGAATCACTTCATGCTTAAAGTCTATCAGTGCAAAATTTGACCGAACAAAAGTTTAACTCAAGATCTGCCTACGACTAACGAAGGCAACAAATTGCTCAAACAGCAATTCAAATAAATCACTTCCTCGTTAACTGTCATTCAGTATTACATCAAAAAGCATATAAACAAGAGAGGAACCAAAGTCAGCTTCACAGAATAATAGAAAAAAATAGTGCGTAGAATTTGTTCAGCTTAGGATTTTGGACAGTAATACAAAAGCGCCAAAAGTACCAGCTTTTGATGATTAAGTTCCTAGCATGGCCGCAATTTTCGAAGGGAGCCTACCTTTGGACACGTGATCGTTGAGTAAGAGGCATTTCCAGCATTATACAATTATAACTTAATCACCGAATGCGTATTTTCTAAATTTTTCTCGTCAGAAGGCGTTTATAAAAGTCATCACTGACAAAAGGCAATATTAGAACAAAATTTTTTCTCTTGTATCAAGTCAGGAAGAAAAAAAGTATGCCATAGCATTTTTCAAGTTTTATTTTCGCTGGAGTTCTGTCTTTTAACTTTATTTAAGTTATAGCATCAAAATGCGGTCGCCAGCTTTTGCATTTTGGTGAAGCAGGTTACAAAAAATTAAGCAAGAAGGTTAATTCAGTCCTTCGTGTCTTTAGCTTCGCCCAGTGCACAGCACTAGCTTACAACAGCATTCAGGAGAGTCAAGGAAACCTTATCTGAAGGTGATATTTCTATGGCGACTAGAACCACAGGACGTTAAAAATATGAATGGACGAGACAACTTGGTTGCAGTTGATCGTTATACTGAATATTGACTATTTAACAACTGTACAAGATTTCAAGTGGTCTGTTATGAGATTTGATCATTGCCCCCTACAACGTCGTTTTTCAAGCCTCAAAAGGCGAAGTCACACATTTGACACACAACACGAGACGATTTGCAACACAATTACGACGATTTTCGGGGTAACAGTGCTGAAACAATCATGGCGAAATTCGAAACAATGACGCACTAATGTCTTAACTCCCTTCTATATTCGCCTTAAAAAACCCATGTATAGTTCTGATCTGATCTGAGACGTCTTGAAGAAGGTTGACAAAGTGGCGGACTAAAACATTAATATTTAGATTTATAGACATAAGCCACCTTTGAAAAACCCAAGGAGGCATTACGTTGTTTATTTTACATTTTTCAATCGAAATTTTGCACAACATTTCTCGTTACAATGGGTCTTGAAGATCTACTGATATAAATTCAATTAACGATAATCTTAAGTCTATTTGATAGCATCTCCATTTTATATTTCACGATGGGTAAATTTTTTGTTATAACATATGCCCCAAAATTTTATCTCTGTTTCTGAAAAGTCATTTGTGTTTAGAAAAGCCGCCCTTCTTTGTGAGCAAAAATTATGTTGGTAGCGCAGCTATGTGTTAAAGTCGTACTTTTTATGAAAACGTCTTAACCGAAGTTTCTAGTTCAGTTTCCTGAAAATAACATTTGTACATTCATCATAGTTTTCTTGGTTTGACTTGAATTTGCTTTCTCGCGAGTTTTGATTCCTTCGTTCATGAAGTATTAAGTCGTTTCTTAACAGTAAAACTGAAAATATTATGATAGCTTCTAAAAGTAGCGGCAATTGACAAGTGACAACGTCATGTACCAGCCAAGGTTTCAAATCAACTAATAATAGGCCAATTGCACGATGACGTCATTTTACTACTGCGACCAGAATTCTTCTGTTTTTTTCTTTCACATTTAAATTTGGTAATCCTAGCGAGGATTAAATAACAAAGGCGATAATTTGTACAAGAAAGGAAAAACCCGAACGATTCTGGTCGTAGTAGTAAAATAACGCCATCATGGAAATGGCCTATTCTGACTAAATCATGTCATCTATTTTAAAGAATGACGTTTACTAGGAGAAATTAGAGCTGTTTTTATTGGAATCTCCTACTGTATATGTTGGTTTGCGCCTTGCAATGTGACCCTCAGAGAGACTTAGTAATACGCAGCGCTAGCGAAGAAAACGCATGGCAAAATCACAGCCATTTTAGCATTTACTCGATCTACAGAATCCTTTGGAGATACCAAGTGGGCCGGTGAACTTTTAAGAGATCCTGTAAGGTGTAGGGTATTACAGGGATCCCAAACTCAGTGTATGAACGCTTTTAATTTATTTTTGGATATTCGCTGGCAGGATCTCATCCCAGTTATAGCCTGAGCTCCACAATTCTTTTAGGTCGATTCTGAGCCTGATTGCTACGGGCAACGCAAGGACCGATAGGGTCCCATAACTGACCAATAAGACCTAAGCAGCGTCTCTCTGTCAGGACACGTAGCTCGTTGAATTCGTTCTTTTTGAAAGTAAACTTGTCCGTCTGTTTATGCCACCTTTGATCGAGATCTGTGAACCGTTCACCGTTGCCGATGGATTGGTCAACTCAGTTCCGCCTTATTGGAAGGCCACGTTTTGATCTGTAAGTGAGCTTTCTCGAGGATAGCGCGTCAATGTGGTTGGTGTATAATCAGCTTTGCTTTGGTTGCTGTTTCTCTGGAGCTGCCAATATCATCCAGGTACACATGCTGTTGAAGTTCCTTTGCGGCTTCCGGGAACTCTGTTTGCGACAGCTTTTCTGGACTGATTGATGGCGTTAGGTGCAGTGTCAGGGAGCAGGTTTATCACCAAAGTTTAATCTGAGCTATGGATAAACATTTGGTCGATCACTTGTCTTATTCGTCCATAGAAACCTGTCATGCATTTGATCGTCGGTATGCGATAGGATTTGGTTAAAAATTTTCCGTTCTTCACCAGTGAATGCACATGCCGCCTTCGTTCCATCGCCATGCTGCCAGTACACTCAGAAGACTATTGATGAAGTTAGGATCTTTGTCAAGATAGTAATCGTTAAGGGAAAAACCATCATGACCTTTTGAATATGAATCAATTAAGACGAGTGAAACTTTCGTGTTCCTTTCTGGTGTGAACACAGCTTGCAGTGGAAGGTACCATTAAGGTTTATAGTGATCAATTTGTGCAGGTGGAACCTTGGTCACAAAGTTTTGATACAATAACTTCGAATTCGGACTTCCTCGTCTACCATTTGTCAGCACTCGACATGGGAGCCTTCTTTGCTACGATCATTGCTTCTGTTTTCTTCGTGTTCAGTATAAGATTGTTGTTCCGCAGCCATGTAGAGATATTCTGGAGGTTAGCAGTCTTCGGTTTTACCCAAAATTTCGTATGATTCACCGGTGTATGCAGCCTCCGTGGCGGAACATAGTACTGTGCAGCAGATCCTTCTCAAGCCGTTTTATATCCTATGCTAAAGATACTATTTTCTTGAAAAAACAGACAGGTCAATCTCCAAGAAGATTAGCTGCCTACATGCCCATTACCCAGAGTTAAAGAATCTTCAAAACGTCTGAGAACTCAAACAAGCCTGTGTTAATACAGAACGCAACGTTTTAAAGCTAATTTTTTGTTAATAGACTGTTATTTAAAACTTTTACTTCTTAGCCAATAACATTAAAAGCTATTAAACATGTAAATATAGGTATGTATTCATTTAAGCAACAGACCACACTTTCTAGGGGTTTACCGGCGTGATAACCCACTTGGGATGTTGGGAGAACACGAGAAAAGCTTGTAAATCATTCCTTCGGCTTGTGATTCACAAGCTTTTTCGCCGAGTCTTCTCCCAACAACCCAAGTGGGTTATCACGCCGGTAAACCCATAGAAAGTGTGGCCTATTGCTTTTATAAAATAGCTTTAAGTAAAACTGTGAATTTACCGGCACAATAAACCATAGGTTTTTAACCAATCAGAACGCGCGTACTATCTTAATTAGTTATTTTATAAACTTGCATATTCAATAAAGACAACACTAAAGACAAGACAAAGAGAAGACAAGACGTTGAAACCAAATGACGGGGATCTCGTGATGAATAGTGAGGGTCTCGTGGAGTTGAGGCGAAATTGATTGTTCTCCAGTTTATAATATGACTGTCCCCCACAGACCCAGAGCATACCCGGACGCTCTCCGCAAAACTGGTTCGTTTCAATCCTGTCTGGGTTAATCAATCTCTGGGAATCATATGCATATACATCATGATATAAGGCAAAAGTGTACTTTGTTCAGCCTAGCATTCCAGTATTGACCATTCAGTCGGGTAAAAGTTGACAATTATTTGATTAGAAAGGCTGAAAAATTTTCTTTGTTAAAAAGGACGTGCTTCTTTAGAAATCTATTTTCTCAATTTTGGGATCAGTAGCAAAATGAATGTGATATCAAATCAGAATTCAGGATCACGACATGACTGCATTTGCTTTGTAATTAAAATGCTTTACAACCATTGAATCACTTTCTATAACTTTTCAGTTAATAATAAAAGTAGAGTTGGAAACATGGAATCGAGAATTGTTTGAAAATCGCAGACAATTATTTCAAAAGATTTTGATTATCAATTTCCCGAAAATCCCGCCCTTCCACCACCACCACCACCACTACCTGACTACCACTTGCAGCTTCTGACTGCCTCCTTTCTTGTACGAGAGTGATTATCACTATATATAACAGTTTTACCGTATTTCCTCGAATATCCCCTCCCTGTCAAGTTGAGGGGGAATCTGATCCAGCAAAACCGATCAGTGACGATTCAAGCTCTGAAAATTAATTAAGAACCAAATTTGGAACACTCAAAAACCCCATGTTCAGTTCATTTGGTGCGATAATTTTTTGATTTAATGGGATTATTAAACAAAATATTTAGGGCACGACTTCCAGTGAGCAATATATGAAATAATCGCCTTTCCTGGAATAATCGCCCCCTATTGATGAGAAAAAAGAAATAGTCGCCCCCCACGCCCGCTATTATTCAAGGAAATACGGTAAACACCCTTACTGTTGACTGTAGGGGCGTTAATAAACCCGGCTACGCGTTAATTCCAACATAGCTATTTTTCTCCATCGCGTTTTATTTATAATTTACTATAAATTGAAATATATGAAATTAATCATATCTTGAACTTTGGATAAAGATATGAAATTGAACATGATCTTCGCAGTAGTAAGAATAACATAAGCGGTTAGATAGGAACTTGAAATCATTCAGGTTCTGAGATCGGGAATCAAACCTTGACCTTTGCGATGACCGAACGCAACGCTCTATCCATACTCAAGCTAATCAGTGGAGGGCAGGCCATCTTGAATTCGTAATATATCCGATGGTGGAAAAGAAATGAATCGAAATGTATGAAAACAATCATATTTTGAGCTGCGCGGGTAAAGAATGATCTTTGCATGCAGTAGAATGACTTTTTCTGGTTCTTTTTCAATCGTTTAGGTTTTTACTTTTTCATTCTTCTGCGAATCTCATGTTCACTTTCAAATAATTCTTTGATAGTTGTTTGTATTTTTGCAGAGCAAAGAATATATTTTATTTTGATTAAATTTGTTTTAATGTGGGAGAAATTGACGCATAAAGGTAACAAATTGACGTTCACTCGTTAATTAAATTACACTCACGTACCTTTTATTTAAAACTTTCCCTATGGTTAGTTATGGATATTAACACCAAATAGGCTAGAACTCTATTATACTTTTTGATGTAAAATTTTTTTGTATTGCAAATCAGTATTGCATAACAAATCTAGAAAGCGTGAGTATTAATTAACACTGACAAATGAATAGCCCTTACTACTATCCTCTCTTTTAATATTTCATGTAGATAGCCTTTTATGAAAATAAAATCAGTATTCTGCTGCCCTAATTGCCAAGGATATATTTGACCGAAGTCCACAAATTGTTATCTATTGGATCATTCTGTTTTATCTTAATTGCTTTCTTTTTCATGTTGTTTAAAAGATTTTAATGGCATGGTTGTATTACCGCTTCGATTTGTCAAAGTTTATTTACAATGCTTATGTTTTGCTGTGGCACTCTGTCATATTGGAAAAATAGAACAAGGAAATGAGTATTTTTAAGAAGCAGTTCACAAGGAAACGTGACCCATGCATCAGTGGTTGTCGTGGAAATGCTTTGAGATATAATTTTCCCAGGAAATAATGTCAATTCTTTGATAAAACATAGAAATCGTTGAAAAATGAAACTTAATACAGACTTATAGAAACTAACTTTACCTTCAAGATTCCACCAAGGCTTTTCAAGCAAGAGCAGCTGTATTTGGCTCGAATTTGGCAGTCTGAAGAAAATATTAGTCTTTGATAAAAGTTGCATCCGCCAATGATGAATCTAAGAGCCAATCATGAAAGGGCAGTAGTGGGATATTACATATTACATGAAGTGTTCCATTTCGCCGTCCATTAGGCACAATGCGTCGATGTGTTCCACACGGCTTTATGACCACCAGTACGGTTTTCTTCAAGGACGGTTCGTGGCTGGTTTCTTATTATGGATTATAGTTAAAAAGATATTAGCTCAAGATAAATTCTTTGCAATATTTGCGAGAGAAGACCGGTTCAAAGCGCAGTTTTAATTCAGATTTTTGGGGCATTTAAGCCCTTCAACGGGTGACCTGATTATGGAAGAAGAGAATAATACCTTGCATTTAAATACAACTCCAAATGCTGTAGCTTATAGGCAGCCTAAGCAAGCCTCCACTGACGTATGGTTTTGGGTCATGTTTGGTGCCATTGGTGTGGTAGCTCTGATTGGAAACTCAGTAGTAACGTTCTTGATTGCAACCCGCCGAAGGCTTCAAACAGCTTGCAATAGCTTCATCTTTTCCCTTTCATTATCTGACCTTTTAACCGCCGCTACAATCATACCAGTGTCATTTATTTGTAAGTTTGGTACTAGCTGCCACCATCCGGTTCTATGGAGTTTCTTCGATTACATTATCTGTGCTTCCGTGTTGAATGTATGTACGTTAACTGCTGATCGATACTGTCGTGTTGTCTACCCTTTGCGATATCCCGTGGTGATGAGCTCGAGACGAATCGCTGTACTCATTGCTCTGGGATGGACACTGCCATTTTTCCTCCAGTTCATTCCTTCGCTTTGTGTTTCTTTGAACCCAGCACTTGATAAGAGAATCTTTAATGTAATACAGATGTTTGTCTTTGCCATTCTACCTTCTGTTGGGCTGTTGCTTGCCTTTGCGAAGATCACACGTATTACTCTTAAGCACTCACATCATCAAAGAGTTCAGGTGACGCAGATACAAAGAAACTCTATTGCGCCACAACAAAGCTTTAAAATACGCCGGAAGTCATTTTCTGTTCTTGTCCTTGGGGTTGTTATTTTTTTCTTTGTTTTCTGCTGGTCGTTTACCATTTACAGGGGCATCTGCGACAGCTTCTCCCTTTGCAAAGTACAGAAGTCAGTCGTCTTAGCGTCAAGACTACTTATAGTTGGCAATACCGCAGCAGATCCCATCGTTTACGCTTTTCTCAAGCAAGATATAAGAAGGGAACTTTTCCGCACATTTCGATCACTTACCAGAGGGAAGTTTCGCTTGCAAGATATGAGCTTGACAGAAACCCGCACAGCTGTGGGTCCATCAAACTGATTATTTATCATAAAGTGATACCCAATCTGAATATCAGGACACTACGCTCCTTTTGATAAAGGTATTTTTTCTTAGTTCTTTCACAAGATAGACGTCTTGAAGCCATTAGAGGGTATACAGCCATTGATGTTATCGCACAAGCTAATAAAAGGGATTTAAACTGCTTTTTTGGGAGCAATTTTTTCCATTGCATGGACGAATAGGAACTCTTTGCCTTTGTTAAATAGTTATTTATGCGCTAGATATATACATTTAGTTTTGCTTTATAATCATTCAGGTTCAGGGTAAAAGTATTGTTATTATTCTGAATCAAAGGCAAATATATGAAAAGTCAATGAATCCTTATCTGTGACTGTTTCATTCAAATAGAAGGGTGAGTGTATGGTTTTCTTTTTTTCCGTTCAAGTGTAAATATTGACTTGTGGTAATTTTCATTCCGTGAAAAAGTCGGCCCATCCTACCGAATATTTGCATTGCGCAATTGACTGCCGTTTAAAATGGCACTTTTTATTGTTCGCTGTTGAAGGCGGTATTTTATTTTCTAAATGAATGAGTGAATATTTTGATAAAAAACAATAAGTTTGGGAAGTTTTCGGAGTTTTCAAACAAATTCACTTTTCCGTCCACTAAAGGGCTTTCTTATTCAAGCCAAAACGGGTTTGAATTGAACGCATTATCTAAAAAAGCTATATTGTTAGTTTTTTAGTAGTAACAAGAGACGATAATTAATAAAGAACAAACAACGCTACGGAGTTTAATTCTTCAATGCAAGAGGAAGAATTTACATTTGTTACTCCATTTTAAATAAGAACGGATCAACTGATGCTAAGAATTCGATGAATAAATTAAACACCTCCTAATATTTTGAGGACGTCTGCCATCTATTCCTAAAGTTACGTGCAAACGGACGCAGAAACTCCCAACATTGTTGGGCACGAATTGTGGTAGCTGTTATGTCCGTGTTGGCAGTGGTGTGCAAACGGATGCAACAACTCCCAACAATGTTGGGATTGACAGTGCATCGTGAGAAGGATACAACCCTTAAGAATTTGGAGACCATGTGTAATGCACGTGCGTGGCCCCAACAATGTTGGAAGAGCTGTGAAAACGTTGTTGCGCTATACGTCGGTGATCACGAAACAAAAGAAATGTTGGGAGTTGTTGGCTCAAAAGTTTGACCGGTTTCAAACTTTGCGCAACACGCAACAACATGCAACAACATGCAACATGGTGTGCGACGCAACATGTAACACCCAAGAATGTTGGGAGTCACTAGACAACAATGTTGCGTCTGTTTGCACGGAGCTGAAGTATTCATTGAAAGATTTCTCTTTTTCTGGTTGTTTTAAATCCCTCGGCTAATTATAAACAATCAGCTCCCGTAGACCAAATTTGAAACATGTTTGCGGATATCCTTAAAGTTAAATCCCTTTTGTGGTTTATTGTCCAGAAACAACAGACTCAGCTGAAGGCGTGGCACAAGGTTAGCAAAAATACCCCTAGACGGATTATTAAGCAAATCTGCTATTAGTTAAAGAATATCTGTCAATGAAAGTAACCATTGATTGAGGTAAGCATAGTCAGAGTGAAGTTGGAAACACCTGATTTTTAATGAATGTATAAAACTCCGCAATTATATTCGGCTTTCGTATGAAATAAGGATATCCAGTCTCGGTGGTTAAAGCACTCCATGGTCTGTATAATTCTTCATATCATACTTAGCCCCATTCAATAATTTATTATAATTAATTATTATCGCTCTCTGTACCTTACATTAAGGACGGGGAAAACGAGGCTAAGTAAGGTTTATCATAATTTTTCATGGCAGTTCTTGTTGTTAAAATTGCTTTCTGATGAAGTAAAGGTAAAAGTGTTTATTTTTTAAGAAAAGGTCCTCTTTCGAAAAGCTGCCAATACAAAAAGAACGGATGCGGAAACTATAGTCTACGTCTCAGAGTAAAAATGATCTGTATTAGTACCCATGGTAATATCTGTGAAGCAGTACCTCAGGGGAGCAGATTGCCGAGAACCATTTTCTGAGTGCTCAACGGATTTAGCGAATCATCGGAAATGCGTTTCGAATTTTGCTTTAACCTGATTGGCAAATTGAAAATGCCACTATCTTAACAGGCCAATCAAGGGACGTACTGAAATCGTGGTACACAGGTGTGGGCCCAGAACAAGAATAGGTGCTTGTTCGCAGACGGAAGTTTAGTTTCGTCTGTGGCGCAGGCTGTGAAAGTACTGATGGATCTTGACATTATCATTGCCCGCGCTGTTATGGCTTTTTTCTTTTTCTATAGCAAAAAGGGAGCCGCGGCAGTTTGGGCTACTCATGATTTCAAAAACGCAAATTAGAATTGTTTTCCAAGTAGCCATGAAAAATAAGCTCAAAATAATACATTGTTTGTACTGTGGTAGTGACGTAGGCGCAGGTGAATAAAGGAACGGGAGATATGATATATTCTTTTTCTGGAGGCATCTTGTTTGCGTTGTCATAGCTCAGGCAGTTAATGACTAGAAAGAGTTCAAATGCACACTCGTAAACTGACTGAAAGAGGGAGGCAATGAATATAGAGACTCAGACACGCTGTAAATCGCAGTGAACCTAGATGAAAAGCTGAGACGTTGAAATAAGTTAATGGAAATTACTTTACCATAAAATAATTTAATATTGCGTTAAAAATGACAAGTATGTGCAACGGTTAATTTAAGATAGTTGCATAAAAAAAGGACGGAAAATAAAAACAGATCAGAACCGAGAACACATGGATCGAACAATAATTTCCCACTGTCTTGGCAATATTAATGCTTGAATGTTAAACCTCCACTTATGGCAATTCACTATCTTTATAACCATTATGTCAAAAATCAAAGCCAAGGATGGTAAAAGTTTTTGTCTTGAATTTTTTTAATCTTCTGAGAATTTGCATAGTGTCAGTTTTCTTGTTTATCGTTTTCTTTCAAAATTTTAACTTATAAAATTTTGAAAGAGTAAGAGTAAGAATAGAACTAACTTCATTCTTCACGCGAGTTTTATGAAAGGATAGTTATATACAGTGGAGTCTCGCTATAACGAATCTCTACTAATATAACAAAGTCCTCAGTATAACGAACGATTTTCTTTAACCCAGTAATAGTGAAACATATGGAAAAAACCTCGATATAAGGAAACCTCGTTATAGCAAACAATTTATCTTGCCACTCCTAACTGAATTGTATGGCCCTTCATTAATATATCGAGGTTCCACTGTAGATATTCAGTATTCCCAATTTTTTTGTTTCCTTTAAACGTTACTTTGCTCTGGTTTTCAGTAGAGTTCTTTTCATGATAATCCAAGAGACAGCAGGCAACAAATTAATCAAAATACTGGTTTCCAAGGAGAAATGTGAAGTTTCTTGTCTCCCTTTTAACAATATCTTAAAATAATCCTAGGTATTTTCGATTCTCACTAACTTGAAGTAACCAGCTATAACATTGATTCCCTGATGGTTTAATTTAATCACCCTCAGGTCATTGGTCAAATCGCAAGGATACAAAGTCGGGCCGCATATTTTATTTTCCTTTGGTAATTGCTTGCAAAATCACTAACATCACTAGTATAGAAATATTCTTTCTTCCAAGACAGGCAATATACTAGACATAAAAATAATTGATTTTATTATGATTGTGGTTTTAATTTCTGCATGGCTTATTTGTTTAACTTATTTGTTTCAATTGAGACTGTTTACAAATTAAAAATTTAATCACTGGACAAAAGACAGCACTGTCTCCTCGCCTGTCGAATCACAGAGTCAATATAAATAATTTTTATACTTTCATAACCTGAAAGAGCCTTTAAAGGAGCCACAACTTTAAATTCGATTTCAAAAAAAAGTTAGCTTAAAACAGTTTGAAAGTATCGTAATTAAAAAGGCTTTGACAAAGGTTTAAAACTGAATTCCTGGTTGATGAAGAAAACTAAACTATTAAAGTACCTTAAATTCATGGGTAAGAAAACTACACAAAAAACACTTAGAATTATGTATTGAAAATTATCTAAAAATTGTGTTGTCCATGTAGTTATCTCTATTGCACTATATATAACGATTATAAAGGTAGTATTAGCTGCGGTAGCACTATCTATCTCACCCTTGGTAAAATGAGTATCGCCCGAGAGTAAGCAACTTTATCATCCCTGAGAGAATTTTTTGGAAAAAAAAGGACGAAAACATTTTCCAGAACGGGTTATCAAGTTTGAAAAGAGGGTCTCCCCAGCTTCAAGCTAGAAGGTTTCTTGCATAAACAACGAACAGACATAACATCGTTGGATGTTAAATGTTGCGTCCGTTTGCTCACACTCTGTTGCATGTTATTGTTGCATGTTTTTGCGTGTTGTAGGGAGTTGTTGCGTTCATTTGCACGTAGCTTAACGGGGATGTTCCTCGTCAATCCCGCTAAATGGGTTGGGTTCTTTTTCGGAATTCATGACGTTAATCCAATATTTTTAACCTAGAAGGTATCCCTTCGGGTAATTCGCCACGAGATGCCTATTTCAAACTAAATTAAAGATTAACAAACGCCATCATACTGTTTTGGAATAATTATGTCATATCTTCTTTAGGGGTCGAATAATTATAAAATTTGGTCATTTAGCATGTCAGGAAACGTACTATAAGTCCCTCCAAATTTAGGCCAATCAGAAACGGAGAATGAATGGAGAGATAAAGCTAGTTACCGGCTTTAACTGACACCCATCAGAAAGTGGAAGGTTTGGAAGAGACAATGAAATATTTGTACCAAGACTCCAAAAAAAGACGCAGAAAATTAAAATATTAAACTTTTGTTTTATTTTGACGTCTCGGCTCCTTGTCTGGCTATGCTTACAAAGTACCCTTGTTACAGAGATCACTGTTACAACATTCATAAACGCAGTTCTTCTTTTTTAGGCAGAATTTAGCGCATATGTCCGCCTCGCTACAAGTTCTTCGGAAGTAGTACTTTGTCATTCCTTCAGGCTTTTCTTTCATCGTCACACACAGCCAGCCAGGCTTGCAGAACTTCCTCGTTTCCGTCGGGCAGTCTTTCCAACCGGAATTCGATTCGCATTCATAGCAAGTCAGGGATTCGCCTGTTAAAACATCGAGAAAAGTAAATTGCACATGATATTGTTACCTAAAGAGATGTTACTTACCCAATTCAATCAAATATCCTTTTCTAATTAATACACAGCTAATTAGTCTAAACAAAATAATGGACTGGTACGTTTCTCCCTGATGTCATGATGTCGAAATAAAAGTATAGACCCTGCCACCGTTTTTTCAACTTTGACTGGACCAGATAACGAAAATCTGTCAATAGACCTTTTCATGATCACGGTTTTCGACGCCATGTTGACGAGTAGGCAAATGCGTAAGAATACAGTGTTTGTATGAGAATCTAATGTGAAATAATTTCCGTAAAACGCGCGGCTGTTTTGCAAAAAAAAAAAAAAAGAATTGTAAACTTTAAAGCTACAAAGCAAAGGATTTTTCTAACAAATTTTGGGGGCCGTTACTGTGCTTAAATTTCTTCAGATGCTTGCTTAAGATTTTCCATATATTTGTCTGCAAGTTTTCCCGGGAAATTTTTACAGACAAATGTATAGAAAATTTTAAAAAGTGATTCTAGGTCTTCCCCAACCATTTTTTAAGGGAAAAGCCCTGGGGACGAGGTTGAGCGCATGTAACGCCCTCAAATTGTTTTATTATAGGATCCTTAAGACTGAAGCTTTAGTTTACAATTCATATATTTTTTCCCTATAGCCGTTTTATGGAAATTATTTGACATTAGATTCTCATACAGACACTGTAATTTCTCACGCGTTTGCCTACTCGTCAAGATGGCATTGAAAACCGCAACAAGGTCTATACAGCCTGAATGAACGCCTTAAAATCAGTAGTGTGGCCAAGTTTGAAAGTTGATAAAAACTAACGAAAATATAGCTCCGCAAAGTCGTGGAATTTTACAGAAGTTTGTATTATATGGTGATCTGACGGCAAGTAATTTGGTGCCCACCTGCATACAAACGTCTCTAAAATTTCTCTACTTTGTGGAAGAGTAATGTCTAATTTACTCCCTTTAATTTGGACGTCGCGTGTTACCTTTCGACTTGATATGTTACCTTTCTTTAATGTTCTCTTTGTAGCCGTTTTTGCAATGGACATTCGCTTGCTACTTTTTATCATAAAGTTCAAAGAAGAAGAAGAAAAAGAACAAGAAGAACAAGAAGAACAAGAACAAGAACAAGAACAAGAAGGAGAAGAATAAGAAGGGGGTCAAGTGGTCCTATCCACATCAAAAGTTGCTTTCTTCGAACTATACACTCAAATCCGTTTAACTTAGACGGTGATTAAAGTTTATATTTTTATTTTTATGTATATTTTTTCATTTTCGGACTACTACTCTTGACAGTCAAAAGCGACGAAGAATTAAACAAAATAAACATCAAAGTAAACCAATCGAGAGCTCTTGGCGTGTGACCAGCCCGCTAAGCAAACCATTACACGCATATCAGGAGTTATCCAATGCCAGTCCCCCAAGCGAATGAAAATACAAGTTTTTAAACCAGGTTCGCTCCAATTCTTTGCTTTTACTTTTGCGTGATTGAGAAAAAAGTCTAATCCAGTCACTCTAGGGTTTTTTATGCATGTAAAAGGAAACACCGTTACTCACTCACGAGCTATAATTCAAACTCGTCAAGAAAACGACTTAGCGTGATCTTGACTGACAACATTTGCTGCATGGCCTTGGGATGGGTGGGTGTAGGGACATATTAGAACGCCTGGTAAACTTTTCATCCAAACAGTATTGGATGGTCCTCAAACTACCTGATTTATATTAGACTTCTCTAACCAACATAACAGTCAACTGAATTTCCCCATTGGGGTTAAGCTTTCTGAGGCTAAAATTTACTTGTTTCAATTATTCTTTCCTCCAAAAGATTACTTAGCAATCATTATTTTAATCAGTCCTCGTGCTTTTCAGTCAAATGATAATCTATAAAAACTAATTATTGTTATCTTTCTTTTCTTTTTCTTTAATTTTGGTCAAGTTCACTATTTTCGGCACAGGAGGCCTTCTGATTATCATCGAAAAAAAGGGAATCAGTCAATTGGATAAACAGTGATGGAGCAAGAAACTCGGATTCAGTCGAGTAAATGGAATCGATTAATGCTAAACTGACCAGAGACATCTGAAAATACGTTAGTTTGCTCAAACGGAAAATATTCCTGCGTTAACGGATGATGTGGCTCCGCAAATGAAGCCCCTTGGGAATAAGATTTGCTTTAATTGCCTCCCTTTACAGAAGCGAATGAAAATTGTCGCGCTCTTCTTGTTTAATACTATAATAATGAGGTATCTATGGAGTGACTTCTTCACTTAAATTCAAAACATAGATAAGAGAAGCAAAACAGTATAAATACATCCTATATATAAAACGGTATAACTGAAAATGGTGTCTTACCACGCCAAAGGAGTAGAAAAATTGAAAGCACAACAAGAACGATTCTCATTTTACCACGTTCACCGATCGTTTTCTCTCTGTTCCAGTGACTCGACCAGGGAAAGCGGTGTTATTGCTAACACCTCACATTTTAATCTAATATAATTCTCAACACATTAGATTGCGCAAATATGTTTTTTAAATGACATTTCTTAGATTAAGAAAAGTTGATACTATTACCTTATTGGCTCGTTGTCCAATAAAAGTTGTTTGACTGTGCATCTATTGTTAACAGATGATATTTGACTTAATTAAGTTAAATGTACACGTTCTCTTCCATCTAATAAAACTCGATCAGCTGCACAAATAAATAAATACTAAGATCTCTGGAATGGAATCCAGTGCAAGCTCATCTATCTATTTGAGGAACCCAATCATCTCTAATTCGCATGTTTACTGAACTGATTCGGTTTATTTATTCATCTTTTGTTTTCCCTTTCCTCTATATAAGATATAAAAATACATGATTGCTGTGCAGATTATTATTTGATCCCTGCTTAAGCAAAAGATACATGAATCAGTATTTTAAGTGCGACGAGGGGTAAGTTTCAAGACAACATAGACCAGACGAAGTGTTCTTCATTTTCCTTGTAACAGACCTTCCTACCCCTAAACCATGTTAATCTAGAGTGTTTGAAAAAAACAAATATGTATGTCAAATTAAACCAAAAAGGCAGATTATTTCTTGCATGGTATTCTTTATCCTATTAGTGGCCTCTGTTGTACTGTCCTGTAGGTCTTTTGGCAGTGATGAGAAGATTCTATTTCCCCAACCAGGTCGATAGCACGGCGAGTAGCCAAATGAGAATGCTATGTAAGGCCTTTCCCAACGACCTTAGCGAACCTATGTGGGAATGAGGTTGGAATTGGACTCAGGTTCTACCCTCCCCCTCCCCAAAAAAACAAAACAAAACAAAAACGAAAAAACAAAAAAACCTTGCATTGAAACAATTCGTCTTTATATAAAAAGAAGGTTTTTCAAATACGCGATTTCTACTGGAATCGTCTGGTATGATTTCAAGCTTGATTTTCTAATTCACCGTGAGATTTGGAGGCTAAATCGTGAGACCGTGAGATGACGTCCCAAACCGTGAAACTGTTGGTCTTCAAATAGTCAGATTCATAAATTTTTCATGTCTTTAAGTTTACAGCGTTTTCTTTTCCCAGCCACTAGGGCAAGAAATCTAATGTCCATAAGGTCAGCGGTCGAGTGATTCAAGACCATGCGCATTTAGAGACTAGATAGAAGGTGGTGATTGTGACCTATGATGTTTTTGATTTGACCATGAAGTGTTTAGTTTCATACAGATGTAGTCTCTGTTGTGAACACTACTGATTGTACCGCCCCAAAATTCATCATATTGGTAATTTTGTAAACTATAAAACAGAGAACGCAAGGCCTCATGGGCAAAAGAATACATTGAAATAACCGAAACAAGAGGCTTGACGCCTTTTGTTTCCACGACCACAGGGTGGGGACGTCACATGGGGTCTAGTTTTCCTTTTCACGGTGCAGTCGACAACGCAATAACACGTGTCTCGAAAAGGGTGACTCCAAGGGTCACTTTGCTGTAGGACAAAAGAGACTTATGCAAAATGACGTTTTAACAAGAGGGTCCCAATGGGGTGGTGGCTTTTACGGTTATGAGCTAAAATTTTGGCTCTTTTACGGCCATCGGTTAATTTTTTTCAGTTACGGTTAACGAAAGGTTAAAAATTATTTTCTTTTGTTTCAAAACGTTAAATATTAATTAACCCGTATTTTTTTGTATCTTTAAATCAAAATAAAGGTCTTCGATCGGATCATCTCGGGATGAAATAAGCTATTCTTTTGAAAAATTTTAACATTTTATATATCAAAAGGTTGAATACTTTTTATAAAGTATTCCACTTCTAATACATTATTTTACACATAGAAATGTCAATAGTCAATTTAAAAAATAATCTTCGTAAAAAAGCAAAAGCAGACACGCAAACGCCCAACTCAAGGCCGGGGCGCGACATTCATTATAACAGAAATGGCCGTTTTCACACTAGAGAAGGATTATTCGCGTGAGGCGGGTTATCCGTTTGTTGATTCGCGTCAGATAGGTAATACGCCGTAATCTGAAAATGGAATAGTTTTAATTTTGAATGAAGAATCCGCCTGACTTTTGAAGACGGGATTATCCGCTCCAGATAGCCTGTGTACAGCCGCTCACTCCTCCGCAGAAAAATCGGAGAAGGGGTGTCTGTGGGGAGGGCGCGACTGTACACAGGCTAGTCTCAGACGGATGATCAATTTCTAGCTCTAGTGTGTGCCTAGGTCTTGGTTAACACCTAAAAGGCGCTTTGCCTAACGTGCGTACGGAGTCACACTAGCCGGGAAGTAAAAAACGCAACCATATTAAGTAAGTTTAGCACCTTCCTTAAAAGTAGCAAATCTAGGTAACAATTTCTTTAACGGTTAACTCTTTTTCACCCTATTTACGGCTAACGGTTAAAATTTTTCCATTTTTACGGCTATCGACTAAATTTTTGCCCGTTTTACGCCTATCGGTTAGCCCCATTGAGACCCTCTAACAATACAACATCATCAACAACAACAAAAACCTTTATTGACCCCTTATACATAAGGAGAATTCAATTTACATGAAATAAAATTAAAACTAAAAGGGGTGTTGGCTTCCTAAAAGAACTAAAGAGTTAACAAGTCTAGGAAGCCAAATTACATAGAATAAATTGTATATTAGGGTTGGAATAACACAAAAACACAACACAAACGATGAAATCAGCCATCTTCACTCGCCATCCGCTGACCGCTGCTGAGGATCCGGATCGGACGGATAAATACGTGAGCTTTTACACTTTTATCCTTTTTAACTCTGTACTTTTTGTACTAAAAAAAAAGAACAGCTGATTAAATGATGGAAATTGATTAGCCACAAGTCGGTTCGGATGGCAACTAACTGGAAAAAACAAAAACAAAACAAAACAAAAAACAAAATGATCTGTTCGAGGCACTCAGTACCTTCAGCTCGGGCGCTTCGCGCCGACTTCTTTTGGCAGATTTATCTTGAAATGAAAATTTTTATCAGCTTATTGTATCTGCTCTCAGTAAAATAGTCATAAAATATCAGAACGCTAGCGTGCGTGACAATGTTTACAATGCTCATGTAGGATTTCGTGAGTGGGAGTAGCATGAATTATTCAGTGTCACATGCATTTGATCTGAAAGGAATCGGTGAGCACGGAATTACGTTTCACGAACCTTGAGGCCTCAGGTATTTTTTCCTTTTCTTTTTTAGCATGGCAGTGTGTAGTGTAAACCCGTTTGATACACTCATTGAACTTGCCTACTTTGAAGCATAACACGTCAAGCTAAACATATTTTTATTACAACAGCAAATCAAATCAACAAACACTGACGAAGGACAAGTCGCTTTGTTGTGTTTTTCTCTTCGGAAATCCGAAATTGGCCATATTTGTTTACGATTTTCGGCTATATATCCCAAAACCAATTATGCTCCTTCGAATGCACTAGCAGGGATTACATCTAAGATCTGAAACTTACGATAAAATATGATCTTCGATCGGCAATTTGCATATATCGGTCTTCACGCTCGAATACCTTCCTTCTCTGACGGTCTGAGAGGTTACAATTACAAGGAATAGTCGTGTGAGATTGCTAAATGTTCTTCAGTAGCATGACCGAAGTATATCTTCTAGGACATGTACTCAGTACAGTAAAAATTTGGTTTAAATGCTTTGTCATTTCAGTCGATTCCATGCTCAGTATGGTGTTTTTAGAGCATATGGTTTTCAATTTCATGTGATAATCGTCCGGGTCGCCTCGTTATTATACGCCTAATTCAATAAGGGACGCGATTAGTGCCGGCAGCGATCGTAATCTGGCTAAATCATGGACAGAACCTCGGAGGTCTTCCTCTATTAAATCGTCCGCATCGACTTGACTGACTTGATCGTTCCATTTGTCCAAAAAATAACAAAAATAACCAAATAAATAAACGAACGAACGAACGAACGGATGAATGAATAAGACGAGTAAGCGTTCGACCGAGTCGAACGTGTCTTGACAAACTGCGAGCCAGCACGCGAGGCATCGGTAAAAAAACAGGAAACACAAGTAAAAACTGCAAATTTACAGATGAGGAGTTAAGCGCTCATTATACTGATTAGGGTGAAGCACTCATTGTGCTGATTAGTTAATGTTTTCCGTATTACTGTTTTCGATTTTTATGGTGTTTTTTTTTTCAATGATTCTTCAATGGACTTGCTGGCTCGCATTTTATACACACTCGAGTCGAACTGCTGTACGATTGTATGGAGACCAGGCTCTCGGTTTAAAACGGAATCCGAAAATTTTTATGCAGTGCTTTTGCTTCCTTGGAAACTTTTGTTTTCCACCCATTTTAAGCCCGGTAGCCAATCTACTGCTTTCTCTTGCAGCCTTTGTTTACGCATAATGCACATAAATATTTAGACGAAATTTGAAAGATGGTGTATGAACGAACTGCGACTATGGGAAAATAAAACATACAAACGTAAGAGGTCTATAACGAAGGAGTCTGTAAAATGACTTATATTTTAAATACCAAGATAGCATTTTATATCAACCAGAGGAGTTGAGGTGCGGGCGTCGCAGCACTGGTGAGTAATAAGGGGCCCTAAAATGGGCGCTGCTTGGTTTAGTTTTGTCCGGATTTAATCTTATTTTCCCTTGTTTAAAACTCCTTTTCATATACCAGATACAAGAATACCAAAAAACTAAAGGAAAAGAGAACGAGGACAAAACTGCACACCATAAACGTTTGATGCCGCACTGCATCAAAGGCCTGAAACATGAATACGCTTCAAGTCAGTCAACATATATTTCCTTTACTTTACTGCCTTAACATTCAGTTAATTGCAGACTCTACAATGACCGTCCTTTTTTATCTTTCTTCTCCGCGTGACAGAGAGAAAAACAGGAGCGTCATGACTTTTGTTGTTAAATTTTCTTGAATGAAATCAATTACTGAACCTCTTTGTTCTTTGTATAAGCTTACAGTATTTAATCGAATAAACGCCCCGGTGCTTTTTCACGCCTCAAATGCGGTCGAAAGTTGGACGCGGCAAACAATTATTGTTTTAACTACGGTGTTATCATCTTCCGTATTAAACTAACAGAATTAACGTCTTCTAATCTTGATTATATCACCGCGGCGCTTATTCGGGGAGGGGCGCTTGTTCGCGTAAATATGCCTTGGTTTCCTAGTGTAAGTCATGCGAGTTTACTCTTGAAAGCTGTTTAAATTTCTCTTGAAAGCTGTTAATTTTAAAAGACGTCTTATTTTGAAAACAACACATGCCTACATACGGACTGCATAATGGTTATGAAACAAGACGAATGTTTTTGGGAAAATCAACGTTCAAAAGAATTCCTATCATTTTGATTGTATTGACCAATAAAAACGTTGCATTAATTTATTCCGTAACAATTTGAAACACAACGGTGCTTTGAACATAAACTGCATGTTGTTTTTAACAAACCATACCTTAAGCTGAGCTAAGTAAGTAAAAAGACCCAACCTCGTTCCCAGGGTTCTCCCGTTTGCCTCGAGAAGTACCCTGCTTACCACCGCTGTTCATGTGGCTCCCAAAAGCTGGGAGCCAACAAGAACTGATTTAATCATGAGACGGGAGAGTAGTATTGTGACCATTGAAATGTAGTTTTCGATTTCGACTTCGTCGCTGTGATTTCAATGATACATGTCAATAGATCACAATGACCAAACTTGGAAACGTTGGCCGAGTCAGTCCAAATTGGCGCTAATTGTACTGATAATTGATTGGCGTGGTAGCTCAGCTGTTTAGTACAGCTCTAGAAAATGGCGGATTACTTCACACGTTTTGTGAAGAAGAAATAGCCGACCTTAACTGAAAAGTTTTAAAGAGGATCACCTATGAAACAAAAAAACAATAACATGCATTGTTTACGGCTTTAGAAGTTGTTAGTTTGCAATGGATTCTACGATATTTTCAAGCTCTTTAAAGCAAATTAAATAAACTAAATAACAATTAATCCTCTCATTATCAGAGTAAATATTAGTCTTTCCACGGGACTGAAAGAATGTTTAACGGACTTTTATTGTTACTTTTTTTTCAGTGACACACGAAAGAAATGCAGTTAAGGGCAAGGCTTGCCCAGAGTGAATATCGTAACTGGGTAGAAGTGGGACAGGCGTTGCTAATTCTTTCAGAGCCAGTACAGGTTCATGCGTCAGTAGTGTTCAAGGCCTTTTATGATGTTTTGACCGTTAAGGTAGGCCCTAGAACAAAGTGTCACTGTACGCATGCGCCTGAAATGCATCATACGCCCAGCTGTAGGTGGGCGCAAGCCATTATAAGCTACCATCGTGAGCCATCGAAGATAAAATGGCTGGTCTCCAATAGCTCTAAGTGGCATGACCCTGTTTCAGGACCATCGGAAATCGCTTCTGTTTTTGCTGGCGGGCCACTTGGAGATGGGCTACGAAATTTGCAGGCACTTCGATTCTGTTCTTACTTCAGTATATCAGAAAAGACCCTTGGCGACGTTATCGATGTTTGGAGGAAGCTTTGGGCAAACGCGCAAAATCAGAAAATTATCCACCAAGATAAACGTCGGGCATTTGATGCAGTTACAAAACTTCTCCTCGAATTTCCTTTCAAAACTGACGCTGACAGTGAAAGGACCTTAAAAGAAATTGAATCCATAGAATATTGGGATTTACCGGTTCTTCAGACAGCCGAGATGAAAGTTGCTCGCAATTACCGAAAAATGCTAGAAGTCAAAAGACGTAAAAAGGCAAAAGATATAATGGACTTGGACGCTAGACTTGATAATGTGGAATCGTTTTTGTTTACCATGAAGGATGATCACCAAAAGCACACATCAGTACCCTTGCATGATTCCCTCCTTTGGTTCATTAATTTGTTTGCATTTAATGTTAAAACTCAACGACTATTGTTACCTTTATGTCTCTTCCTAAGTTTGTGCTTTCGTCAAATTCTCAGAGTCATTGTTATTGTTGTTCTCATGGTCTTAGTTGGTTCTGTGACAATGCTGTTGTCAATGGCAACCAGTGGATTTGCTGTTAGGTGTACGGAGCCTTCTTGCCCCTGAACTGTATTGGAGAAAAGATATCCTCATGTTAATCTAAGTCCATCGTCTAGAATTTTTAAAGGTTGACTTTGTAAGATGATGTCATGGGTCATGGGTGCAACACTACTACCATTTGAGCATGTCATGTATTTGAAGTACCTTGATTAGGGATTGAACTCCACTGACTGCCAGCTTGCGAGTTCCATAATTTCTCAGAAGTGCCTAATATTTGAGGTGCATTTTAAAAGTGTAATTATATACCGCATTTGCTCGAAAGAGCGCCACACTTTAAAGCAAGCAATCGCTGCCCCCGGATTAGCCTGTTACAGGCTCCAAGATCGTGTGGAAAACGAATTTGCGTAGACGGATTTGTAAGCATTGTTTTCGATACCTCATTCCGCTATAATTGGTCAATTGTGACAGTTACTTCTCATTTGGCGTCGCGCGCACAGTCCAACACCGCACTTTTTGACGTTTTGACATATGACGTTTTGACACGAGAAACGATTTTTCACCAAGTAGGTGGTAGTGGGCGGATTGCGGTATTTGAAAAGATGCTTACAGGCTCTTCCCTTCTCCATCTTTTCCCGTCGTTTTTCGCTCGTTCGCCATTTCTCTGCCCGTTCGCTTTTTTCGCTCGTCTGCACTGACCGGGAGCCTGACCTAATCGTATCAAGAAAAGCGACCTGAATTCGAGAACAATAGGTATTGTTCTGTGTTGTTATTTTTGATCGTTTCTTGCCTTGTAAGGACAAAACCGATCAACGTGGCAAAAGCTCTCACGCGCGGGAAATTTCAACACTTCCGATAACCTCTTTCGGCGCGACCGAAGTAAGGAGCAATTTCAACCCAGCGGGTGGGTAAGAGTTAAAGTAGTCAGGACGAAACATACGACGTAGTAGTGGTAGTGTGAGGTAACTGCTGGACAGAGGAGTTTAATTACCAGTTGCATCCTTGTGTTCTATTTCGGGCTTAGCCTAGTGGCAGTAACTTTTACGCAAAACTAGATGCTCATCTTGCTCGTTAATATTGCCGTAAGGAACTAAAATATCGGCTCGAATAGAAGCGGCTGAGAACTTATAATTCAGTTTGTTTGATCGCATACGCTTTGGTTGTGATTTTTTATATACTGGTTATATTCTGTTTCCGAGATGGCAACATTCAAATTTCGCGCTAGAGAACTTTGAATCTACATGCAAATGAAGTTTATACTTTACAGTCGTTCGTTACGGATTGACTTGTTAGAATTAAAATCACATATTATTCATGTATTGAAAAGGGTCTGTTAACAATAGAGGAATAAAATCAACCCGCGTCTTCTTAGTAAACAAAAGACTGAAAAAATCGCACCTCCATTTTACTGGCCCGCGAGATTTAAAGCACAGCTCAATGCCCTCACACTGATATTATGTGGTGCTCTCTTTGAGTGAATATATTAGACGTGAATATCGCCCGGTTAGCTCAGTTGGATAAGCGCCGGTCTGCCGAGCGGGAGGCCGCTGGTTCAAATCCCGGCCGGACCAACCCGGTGTGGTGGTCTATTTCTCATGGGGGGAGGGACTGTTACGGGCCCGCAGTAATTGGCGTCATGCTGTTGCGGTGACCCTGCCAATAATTGGCGAATCTAATAAAATAAAATAAAAAACGTGCTTGGTGCTGAACGTTTCTAATATGAACGCGCAGTATACTTGTGCAACACTTCGGACAGGGTTAATCGAAACAAATCAAAGCAAATTCTCCGTCGGCGATAAATACACTGAAGGGACAAGAACACAAAAGACTGAAAAAATCGCACCTCTCTTTTACTGTGACGCGAAGTTAAAAAAGACATGTACACTTTCGGTACTTATAAAATTTACTTCTCCGGTTTCAAGTAAAAATTACACGCTTTTCTAACAGCCTAAAGATGCGGGTGTAATTAATTGCTTAAAATTCCGAGCAGAGTCAGCCGAAACTAACTGATTTATAAAAAGCGGATTTCAATTTGGCAATGACTCAGGTAAATAAACTAAAGATTAAAAAAAAGATGGCACCTCCTTTTTACTGACCCGCGAGGTTTAAAACACGGCTCAATGCCCCCACACTTACTGATAAAATTTCTGTAAGTAAAAACCACACGCGCTTGTTGCTAACTTATCGCACATGCAAGTGCTGTTTAATGCGCAACTGTTTGCTTTTATTTGAAGTAAAAACCTGTTTTATTCAAAGTGCGTTGTCGCTTTTTGAGAACGTAATCTCGGCCGCTTGGATAATTGACTAAACTCTTTGCAGTAACGACATAAAAGTATCGGGAGAAGTCTACGCACGCGGCGGGTTGATACAAAAAATCTGAAAAGCAATGATGCAAATAAAGGTCAAGTTTTCAGTTCACTGCCTCAAAGAATAACAAGTTGTGGACGTCTTCACTGAATATGAAAATGCTTCTTCTAGAAGACTTGCTCTCTAAAGCTCCTTTGACTATTCCCGTCGGTACCCTAGTGAAATTTCATTCTTCACAGATCAATTAGTACTCCCCACCCCCCGTGGTACACAAGTTTGTCAAGCCGAAGGTTTCCGATTATTAAGACAAGTTTCGGGTCGGTCTTGGCTTTGATTCGCGTGAAAGGTGTCACAATTTTGGGATGCCGATAACAAAGCGTCGACAGCTCAGGTACTGGCTGATACTATGCCTCCAGCAGTTTTCGTCATTTTCCCGCCAAAGAAAACCCATAAATAGCTATAAATGAAAAAAAAAGCATCGTTTGTTTGTCCAATTGGCAGCCCAGTTTCTTTTCTCCAATTTGGGGAATAATACTTTTTAGCTATCTTTCGTGAGCGGCGAATACATTAAACTGTTTGTGTCTGTTTCAGTAAACCAATGAAATTCTTCTATTCTCGTTCGTTTGGTTTTGTTTGATTTGCTCGCAGGTTCGTGTGTAATCAATTTCAAGTTCAAACGAAAATACGCTCTGAAGCAGTTGAAGTTGCTATAAAGGTACATATCTCATGCTACAATTTCTGGGAAAAAAAAGGAGTTAAAGAAAATAGTTGATTAAGGGGTTTTAAAAATGGAGAATACCCAAATTTAAAGGATAGAGTTTACAAACCTTAATTTTTTTTCAAAGATAGGTCTATCTATACATAGGCGTACGGACCGGGGGGCGAGGGGGGCTGCAGCCCCCCCAAAGTTTGGGCAACTCAGATTTTTTGGGCAGCACGAGAAAATTTGGGCAAAGCCAGTTTTTAAAGGCGTCTCCATGTTTTTAGTATTAAGTTGAAGAGATAAATATATTCTATTTTATCCTGAAGTCGGCGTAATAATCCAGTTAAATTGACAGGAGAGTGTCTGCCTAGCACGTGACGAGTTTCTGGTTGTAAGGGAAAGGTATCATATGCTGATTTTTTTTTATTGTTGGGCACTATACTGCAATGGGCTATTTCCACTCGTGAATTTATTAGAATAAACTTCCGCCTAACTTTCAAGAATCATCTCCGCTCGTAGAACAGTGTATGGCAGATAGCATCAGCAATGGGTCTTAAAGTGAAGAAGTGGCTGACTAATTCTCAGTTTGAATTGCGAGAAGAATCTTGATTTTTTTAAAAAGTCTATCGAGCGGTTTAAAAATTATTCAATAATTTGTTAAAGTAGACTGAAATGTTTACAAAACCGCTAACAAGAGCGCCATGATACAAACTAATCAAATCCTTCTTTTTAGCAATTGGCCGGAGCTATCTCCATGATCTATCACCCACGTTTTTGAAAAGATTGAAACACTATGAGGTGAAATTGCATGTGAAAAGTGCATCGTTTTCTACAGATAACGGCCAAACATCAAGATTTTCCTTTTTTTACCGTATTTCCAACGATAAAAACTTTATCCCAAAATATCTCGATAACGCTCTTACAGATTCCGTTTTAACGTCACGAACATCGAGGCGACTATTGGAGGAAAAAGCTCCTGTGATCGATTTTAGAAGAACAGTTCCCAGAGAGAAATATTGCTGCAAGTATAATAGGTAATGGCTTCATTTCGTTGCTATAACAACTCCGATGTCATTGCAACCCTGATCACGACAAATTTTCATCTTTATCTAATACACCTGTGGTGGCAACTTTTGCAAATGTTTCTTTATGGCGACGTAGTTTATGCTCAAACTTGGCAGGTATTGACCCTGAAAAACTGTATGGAGCCATTTTCATATGCCAGTACGGCCTATCTTGTTGCATCGGCCCTCGTTTCTGTTCGACTGTTTTGTAAAAATTTGGGCAACTTGGAAAAATTTTTTGGGCAAATGGTTTACCGCCCCCCCTGGCAAAAAATAGCCCGTACGCCTATGTATCTATAAAATATGATTTAAAGCGCTACACGGTGAGGTACCAGGAATCTGATTTACATCTTGGCCTTTATTCTTCTTTGACCATGTTGACTTCTGCTAACAATCTTAATCTTCCTACTCTTCTAACTCTTTTCTACTTTTCTACTCTTTTCTACTTACTAGTTCAACTATAGTAGCGGTTTTTATAGCCAAGGCTAGACATGTTTGAGTTAGCTGGCCGGGAGACCTTCATTGCTGAATATCTTATCGCTAGCATTGCAACAGGCTTGCTATATTGTTAGGGAATAGATTAGCCTACGCACAGTCACAACTGACAAGTACCAAAGAACAAAGGCCATGAAGCAGCTCTAACACCACAAACACGACCACCTGTAAAAAACGAACATCTGACAACGCCAAGCGAATAACATTCCTAATATGGCAATAAGTAAATTCGCGAGCTAAGCATAAATTCAAGTACAAGTAAAAACAAAAGATCAAAACAGGAAAAAAGTACGTGGACAAAAGCAAGACTTAATGAAACAAAAACTAAACTCAAAAGATAAGATAGATCCGTCTTAAAATAACTTTCAAAATACTTCACAACAGTATTTTCTATTGGATATAGGTATGTTGCATTCCTAGGTTTGTAGTTTGATCATTTGGTCAAAGAAAAGTTGTTTTTTCCAACCTATGATCAATTGACCTTTTATAATGGGCTACATTTGGTAGTCATTATTACTACCTCAAACGGGATGTTGGACCGTAAATGCACTATATTGTGTGTCAGGAATATTCAGTTATCTCCAAGTTGGACTAAAAATATCTACTTCCATATAGCGTTTTTAGCTCACTATTGGTCATCAATATTACTAACTCAAAGTATGTTGGACCGTTTCAGTACTGATATATGATATTGCATGTGAGCGTTACGTAACGCCAGATGAATTGGCTTCTAGCCCAAAGGTCATACCGTATGGTTTTTAAAAAAAGGCACGTGTTGGCAGTTTTCATTTACTCATGCGCAATCAAACATTTTAGGGAAAGAATATAAACAGTTAGCAAAGTGTGTTGTGATCAATTAGTTTCCAGTCCAGTAAGAACGTGTTTTGTTGGTAGCATAATAAAATCCTTGCAGTAAAACAGTTTCCGAAAGAGATGGTGTACGTTTTCTTAAATCTGTATCATACTCTGTATTGGACTGTAGACATAATGTCGAAAAAGGAAATTTTATGTGACTGAATAATTTTCACTTTAACAGTATAAAATTTTTTTCACTTAGCCAATATCCTGCTTAACTAGAACTTTGATGAACTTAATTCCTTTTTGCTTTCTCTTGGAGACTTCTCAGTCTTTTGCCGATCACTGCTTCTTGGTGAAGTGATTAAGACCCATGGTTAGGAACTCCTTAGCCTCCTCTTGTCCACCGTCATGGTTGGTTGTTAAGTTATTTTAATCACCCAACCATAACTGGACGAAAAAGATTGTTCGCAAGATCAAAAAATTGAAATAAAATCAATCACTGCCTGGAGGATGGGTTGGCAACAACGGCAGTGATTCGTTTATTCCTCCTCTAGTATAGTAATGATTTAATTTCGTACATAATTAGGTACTAATTTTCTTTTGCTGTATTTTTACCTCTTTTATCTGTTTGGTCTACCGCTAATTAAACTTCAAAAATGTTTTGCAGTTCAGAGGTTACTGAAGGAGAAAATATATTGCTCTTGGTTAAACGCTTTTGATCAATTTTGGGAATTACGATTAGTTCCCGTCACGCTTTCGGTTGTAAGCTAATTCCGTTCAAAGTGGAAATTAGAGAACGAAAGGCAAGCGTTAGCTTTGGGAACTTCGGAACGCCTATTAAAAATCCCGCAGTACGTTTAAAAAAGTCGGAGAAACCCAGTGTGATACACCCGCAAGAGTTATTTTTTACGTAAGTGTTACATTCCTTTCAACAGACACTTCACTACTCGTCATGACGTATAAAAGGACGCCTAGCTACGAAGGAAGCATTACAGCAACAACAACAACAACATTAACAACAAAGCAGAATATTATAGATATTAAAAAAACTATATTTATAAATTTCACCACGTTGTGCATCTGGTATGCATCAAATTTGAACCCTTTCAAATAAACATTAGTTGCACATCTTTCACTAATTTCAATGCTCCTAAATCCCCCTTACATAACAAATGTTTGGGGAAAATTCAATAGATCTGTCTTCAATTACCTTCAGCATATTATCCGATCAGTCTGGTCAACGGTTCGGGGTTCTTTAATCGCCTTGTCATCTGTCAATACAACTAACAATAAAATAAAGTAATAATAATGATAATAATAATAATAATAATAATAATAATAATAATAATAATAATAATAATAATAATAATAATAATAATAATAATAATAATAATAATAATAATGATGATAACAGAAACTGTGAAGAAGACAACACCTCGCCCCCCCACCCCCTTTCCCTTGCTAAGGAAGAACTGGTTGTTTTCCGTTGCTCAGGGGCGGTAGGAACTGAGAAACAATGAAGACGATAATAAAAAATAAAAATAAGTGTAATAATGGCGTTATAGTTAGCGACTAAGTCTTCATGTTTTAAGTTTAAATTCATGTCCCAGCATGTTACTTATTCTTTGGGTGCTTTCCCTATAAGTGGGAGTCTTTACCACAGCTGGAGTTCCGGCAGCAGATATAAACCGCCTGTGCCAATATAGTATTGACCTTTGCAAATATTAGCTGTTGTTGATGCTGACTTCCCATGGTATTTTAAAAAGTTATGGATAACTGAATTTCCTTCCTTCTCATACCTAGTCCAGCCAATAATAACATTTTCACAACTATATATTGTTCTGTGAGGTTCAGACGAAGATAGAGAATATTAGTTTTCGAATAGTGTTGCGGCCGTTTCAAAAGGATAAATATATTTCACACACAACCTGACGTACTTGTAAATAACTAAAAATTTTAAGGAATGATTTTTGAAATTATTGCAAAGTCATTGGTGGTTACATAGATATTGTCCAATTCCAATATTTTAAATATTAAATATAAATAGAGGCACTTAGCAACCGATACATAGGTCCCGAATTCTTATTCTTGTATTTGCAGCTAGCAAATTATTTGATAAAAACTCATATTTACTTTCAGATATATTTTATAGGACTGGTAATACGACACCCTTTGGAGAGTGAGAGCTGTTACGGGCCAGTTTTGCATTTGATATCTTCTATGTTAATAAAATGGTCGATCAAGTCGAGACTCGTAAACTATCAATAATTTTAATTTTATACTTGGCTGCGCAAATCAAGCGGAAAAAGTAGTCTACGATACCGGCCGATTCTGGTTTTTAATTTTTTCATTCCAAAAGGTACCAGTAGTATACATAACGAGTGGAAAACACTGAAATGTAATTCTAAGACTAATTACCAACAGAAGTTTCATTCAACTTGCCTCAAAATAATCAAGCTCAAAAGAACATTTCTTCAAAACAAAAATAAAAAAAGCACAGAAGAAAATTTTGCGGTGTAAAATAACGTCACGCCTTTAACCACTGCCATATATCGTGGCGATACTTGGCTGGGTATCGTGCGGATACAGGACGGAACCGACATTCTTTTTATTTATTTATTTTTTTAACTAATGCGTAGGGTAGGATTTCTGTACAGTGGAGGATACAGGTGTAAGACTTTTAAACAGTTGTCGCCGATACGGACGTTTACTACGAATATGAATTAACAACTTAGTATTCGAGTGATATCCAATCGTCATTGTTAATAACGTAGTAGTATGTTCTCAAATGGCCCCATCGAAACAGTGGGCAATGTTTCATGGAAAAATTAAAAGTGTATGGCTGCGAATGCTGGAGAGATGGGGAGCAGACCTTCACGTTCAGTGACGATTAAACAAAGTTTCAAACTTAGGCATAGCATAGTATTATTGTAATACTCTGGCATAAAGCTGTGAAACCCTTTTTTTGTCGTTTTTGATGACTTAGAGGAAGTTTACGAATATGAATTAGAAATTTAGTATTCGAGTGATTGGAACGGTATCTATCGTCGTAATTAATAACCTAATGCAGTATTTTTCTCAAATGGCCCCATAGAGACAGTTGGCAGTATTTATGGAAGCCATGGAGCGAATGCACTTCAGCATTTTACCATTTTTGGCCATTCCAAGAAAACGTCAAATACAAAGGCTGAAATTTAAACAAAAGATAGAAAACAATAACTTTCATCTTAAACTCCGCAACCCCTCAACACTTGGAATAAGGTGACAAGCTTTATGGGGAACCATTTTGTTTAAAACTTGGCGAAAATGTTACAATAGGTATCTCAACTGACAATTACCCGATAATATTAGAACGTAATTATTATCCAGGAATGTTTGTGGGGGAAGGGCCAATAAACACACAATTGAATATCATACTTGACAAATAACTCACATCAGATTTAGAAACGCGGCCTTAAACTTAAAGCCGATATCTTAGAAATGCGATTTTCAAAAGCACCGAATTTGACGTCAAACTTTCATACTTCCGGGTCCATTCTGCATAAAATGCTGTAAGAAAGCTCGCTTAAGCAGCAGTCGCTCTTGAAACAGTTCAATCTGTGTAGCGGCACAGAAGCATATTGATTCTTTCAAGATGAAGGGGTTATTGGCGTTTGCTTTGCTGGGCTTTTTTCTTGCCTGTACCTTACAAGTTACCAGGTCAGACGAACCACTCCAAGAGGAG